TGAGAACACTTAATACCCAGATCTTGGTTTCTAACACCATTCTCCAATAACCAGGGCTTCTTGGAGAAATGGCTAATTCTAGCACTGCGACAAGAAACATACAAGATGAGCCTAGAGCATCCTGTAGTGCCAGAAAGTAAAGTGCTCAAAAATAATTAAATAAAGCAAAACACACACACACACACACACACACACACACACTGATGTGGGTATGTTAAAGGGGCACAGGAGCCAAGTGAAAGAGCTCCCAATGGATAAAGCTGGAACAATTTGAGCAACAAAATAGTATCGGAATAAAATTCAAAGTATAATATAAATATCCTTCAGTCTATACTGATATAAATAAATACTTGACCAAATGAATAAGTGGAGAAAGAGACAATCTTCCATGCAGAAGAAATCCAAATAAATTAAGTAGATACCCCACCGCAAAGTACAGGGACTATCACTCCTCACTCCTTAAGTGTAGGCTGCACATAGTTACTTCCTTCCAAGGAGGACAGAAGGAAAAGGGGAAAAACAATAACTTTACAGTGGAGAAACCTGACAAACACTACTTCAGCCAGGTGATCAAAGTCAATATCAATAGTCATAAATCATGTTGATAGCACCCTTGATATGATGTGATGAAAATGGCACTTTATTTCTGTGATCTTCCTCCCCAAACCTCATAACTCCAGTCTAATCATGAGAAGAACACCAGATAAATTCCAAAAAAGGGACATCCTACAATATACTTAACTAGTACCCCTAAAAACTGCTACAGATTTCAAAGCTTTCAAAAACTGAAGGAAAAAAAAGGGTGGTGGGCAGAGCCAGACTTACCTTCCTTCCCAGCCAACAGAAACATAAAACTACCATTTTTCCAGGACTCTTAGTTGAAGACTTTCCAAATTAGTCTGCTGAGATACTGCTCACACCCAAACACACAGTAACTCAGCCAACTGGTTGGTTATAGAGTCATGCACCGCGTGACGACCTTTCGGTCATCAATGGACCGCACGTGGTCCCAAGTACTACACAGCCTTGGTGTGTAGTAAGCTGTACCATCCAGGTTTGTGTAAGTACATTCTATGATGTTCACACAACGACGAAATCGCCTAATGACGCATTTCTGAGAACGCATCTCCATCGTTAAGCGACATGTAACCGTATACTGTCTTTACCACTTTACCATAGAGAAGACTGCATCAGTTTTGGCCAACAAATATCTTTTGACCACCTTCTTTGTTCCAAGCATTGTTTGAGGGACTGAGGTAGCCTCACAGGAAAAAAAATCTGTGCTCTGCTTTCATTTCTGTGAGGAAATCAGACAATATACAAGCAAACAACAAATGACCTATCAGATAGCAATAAATGCTATGAAGTAAATAAAAAGGAAAGTGAGGTAAAGTGGCCAAGAAGGCTACTCTAGCTGGGAGCTTAGAAAATGCCTCTTTAAGGAGATGACATTTGAGTTGAGACCCGAGTGGAGCCTGATACAAAGGCAGGCTTGACGTACGGGGTAGAGCAGGGCGGGAAGTTCCAGGCAGAGAACAACAAACCCAAAGGCCAAAAGAATAAGTTTAACGTGTTTGAGATTTATCAAGTACGCAGGGCAACCGCCCTGAGAGGAATGAGCTAAGTGACACACTCTGAACTCTACAGGCAAGACTACAAGAATCACCTAAGAATCTCAAATCTCCCCAAACCTGACCACCAGGAATCCATCAATGATAATTAGATCAACATCCTAATTTTATGCTCCCCCTTCGCAACCCCCCTGCCCCGTCACAGATGTCCCCTCTCCCACATTGTAAAGAGCATATTTTGAATTGCTTCATCTTCCTTCTAAAACCACCATGTCTACCATTCATATTTCATCACATCTCTGATAAGAGGTATAAAAAACAGGGGTGATTCTACCCAGAAATTGCTCCTGCATTCTCCCTAACAGATCCCATTACTTCATATAGTACAACCACAGGTTAAGAGCAAAGGCCTTGAAGACATAACTACTTTGGGTAGAAATTCAGGTTCCATCAGGTCTATGATTTTGAGCAAGTTGCATAACCTTTCTAACACTAAGTTTCCTCATCTGTAAAAAACTGTGAAGATTAAAAAAAGACAATATGTGGCACCCAGTGAGTATTCAATAAATGTTCGCTACTGCTAGTAAAGTATTTGAGCATTTATTTTGTTCAAGGACTAGAGTTGGGCTGCAGGGATTACAGAAACTACAATTTGCTACAGCAAATTGTTTGAGAGATAAAATTGTCAAACTCTCTTAGGTCAGGGGCTTTGTCTTTTTCTGGTTCACCAGTGTATTCCTAGAATCCAGAACAATGTTTAACACACAGTAGGCATCAATCTCAATATGTGTTGAGTGAATGAATGAGACTCCATTAAGTCAAAGGAGCGTGAGAGAGCCTGGCTTTATGCCAATATAAAGAAAAGTTTTCACTCCCCATCAAAATTTTTAACAATATCCTATAAGGCATTGTTAAAGATGTTTACTATTTTTAATTGTCTCTCCAAAACCTGGAACAGTATTCATAATATTAAGGTACTCAAATTTACTGCAATTAAAACTCTGCTGCTAAAATTGAGCTGCCAGTTGTAGAAGGCTATAGTACTGTTCATAATTCAAAGTTGACGATCAAAACTTTAAAAGTAATAAAGTATAAGGTACATTAATTGCTATAGAATACCTTTGCTTGCCATTGCCTGAGCGAACAGGCTTTAAAAACTTGTGTAAACTTTTTATCCCGTGAGTTTGCCAACTAGGTTTAATTTATGCTGGCAAAATTAATTGATTTCACCTTTCTCTATATCATTAAATTTTATAAAAACATTATGGTTCATCCAGTCACTTAAGGAAAGTCCCAATCTTTCAGGATCTCTTAAAAGTTTCAAAAGACTGTTGGCTTAATTTATGGGCTCTTTAGGTCAAAGAAGGACTTTTCAGTGTGATGAAGGAGAAAGGAGTAGTTCACCTCTCTCAAAATGAGTTTTCAATTACTATAATTATGCATAAAATAAGACAGGCAGCATTTCTGGGCCAAGATTTGATGCCTTGGTTCCCATGAGAATTAAATCCGAACCATGCATAAATTTGGGGCAAGTTCTGCAAAAACCACTTTACCCTCTATTGATGCTGAATGAAAAACTCATTGTTAAAGATTCATCAACACGAATATATTTCCTAACACACAGGAGCCACTCTGGCAACATCACTTTCATCCTTTTCTGTCCCAGAAACAAAACGGGATGCATTTAAATTCTGCCTGACAATTACCACGAATGCAGGGTAGTTATCTCAACAGCCAAAGAGTGGTAAGAGCTTACAAAGTAAGAATCTAGTTTACCGAGCCTCCAGCTTAGAGGAGCAAGCCCTGCTTCACTTGCTGGCTATTATACTGGTCTCCCAAACCTCCAGAGCTGGAAGGATACCTGAACTCTACTGACGCCTTTGGAGAGAGAAAGCCAGGCGCAAGGGCGGAGCGGTGTGATCCGAATCGTTAAAATCGCTGCAAGCCGGTAGGGACACAGGTGCGCCGGCAGGCCCCGGTACCGCGGTCCTTGTCACGCTCTCAGGCGACCAGGCCCTTCACAGCCACCACAGCCCTCACGGGCCCCGCTTCACTCATTCATTCATTTGACAATTACGCGAGGGGCACTGGAGCGAGGCCGGCTCTCACGGCCCCCGCCCCGGGACCGGAACACGCTCAGCCGCCGGGCGCGGCCCTGCGCCGCCCGCGGCCCCAGGACGCGGCTGCCCGCACCTCGCGGCGGCGCCTCCGGCCACCGGGGTCCCAGCCCTGGCCTCCGCCGCACACGAGCGCCCACGCCCCCCGCCCTCCCGGCCGCCGGCGCCCCGGCCTCCGCCCCGCTCCGCCGCCTCACACCCGCCGGGTCCGCCGGGCGAGGGAGGCGCGCGTCCGCTGAGGCCCGAGCCCGGGGTTCAGAGCCCCTCCGCGCGCGCGACGCCCGAACCCGCGGGCCTCGGCGGGTGGGTCGGGCCCGCCGCCCACTCACCTCCGCCGGGTCAGAACCGAGGGGCCTGCTCTAAGCCGTTTGAAACCGCTTGGGCCGCCGCACACCCCGCAGTGTCCTCGTCGTTTATTGGTTCTCGCCGGACCGCCCCTCGCCCTCTTATTGGTCTATTTGAAAGGACTGCGGGCACGCGCCGCCCGCAGCCTTAAAGGGGCCGCGCGCAGCCGTGTTTCTCTCGGGAGCCGGCGCTCCTCCTGCTCCGGTGGGGAGGCGATTGCTGCAGCGAAAGCTGCTGACGGCCCCAGAAAGGAGGGCAAAAGATGTGTGGAGAGGTGTGCATTCCCGGGCGTCCGAACGTTTGCTTTATTTACCTATGGATATTTAAGCTGCTGTCAACGCCTGACAATTTTTTTGAGTCATTTCATTCACCCAATATTGATAGTGCAGCTCGGTGCGTGAGGGAAACGAGAGGCAGCTGGGATATAGTGGAAGGAGAGTGAATGGAGCCAGGACGCTGGGTTCTGGGCTTGGACCTGCTCTGAGTAAACCACTTTTCTCAGGAAATCATCTGGAGCTTAGTTTCCTCATCTGTAAAACGGGATAACGATGTTTCCCTTACAAGCTTAATGTGAGGATTTCATGTAATTAATTGAATGTCTAGGAAAGGCCTTTGAACGAGAACGCATTCTGCAAATGCTTCATACTCCTGTTATAAAAATGAGAGGCTAGGTTAATATGATTTCTAAAATTCTCGTTTAGCTCTACATTCATTGTTTCTTATTGGAAGTAAGTAAGGTCCTTACTTCCAAGGAATTTGCAAACTACAGTGGTCAGAGGAATAAAACGTGGAGACCAGTCACTAAAATTCAAAACAATATAGGAACTATGTAAAATAAAAGCTGTAGATGCTTACTGAGGGGAAAATTTGATAGGGAGGATCTGTGAAGGGGATGGACTTTTAATCTGGGATTTAAAGGATATGTAATTACCCACAGGCAGAAAAATGGAGAAGGGATGGGTAAAAGTAAGAAAACAATTGTTTTTTTAATCGATCAAATTGGTGAAGATGAAAAAGTTTAACAACCTTTGGTTAGCCAAGAATTGGAGAAATAGACACTCAAACTCACTGTTGGAAAGAGTATAACTGGTGCAAACTCTTAGGAGGACAATTTAGCAGTTAACAAAATGTAAAATGTACATAATCTCTGGCCTAGTAATGTCACTGTTAGGAATTTCTCCTACAGATCTGTGCAGGTATGCATAGAAAAATGTACAAACACATTCACTGCAGCACTAATAGGAAAAAAAACCCTGGAAATTACCTGTCCATCAATAGGGAACTTGTTACATAAATTATGGTATATCCATTCAACAGAATACTATGCAATTGTTAAAAAGAATGTAGTTAATCTATACATGCTGGTTAGAAAAACACACAAATTTTATTTAATTGAGAAAAGGCAAGTTGCAGAAAAGTATGTATGGAATGATTTTATTATGTATGGTTATGAATGTATGCATATTTGTGTGCATGCCTGAAAATGATTAGAACATTCCTGGAAGTTCAAGAAACTTAATAGGAGTGGGACTTGCTAAAGAGGGAAATGAAATATTTACCACTGACATGTTATTATTTTTTTAATAGAAGAAGCAGGGAGAATATCTAGTAGCGGGAAAGGTACGGGCAAAGGCACAGAGACAAGAAAGTGCATTGTATGCAGGGAATTGAACACGTGGCTTTGATTTTAGAATAGGGTTCATGTTGGGAAGTAGTGGGACACAAGATTGGCAGAGAATGTTAGGAACAATTCTTGAAAGGTATTGAATATTAGGGTAAAGAAGTTGTACTTTAAGTAGGCAGTGGGGAACTATTAAAGGTTTCTGAGAAAACGAGTGACAAAATCAGAATTACACTTTAGGAAGATTAATTAGCTTGACTGTCTAAAATCGTTAGAGTTAGAAGCCCAGTTTGGACTGATATGCGGTAACAGCAGTGGAAATGATGAGAACAGATTCAAGAAGGAGTAAAGGATTTGGCAACTGACTAGATTAGGGGCAAAGAGGGTGGGGCCCATGGAGGGAGATGAGTCAGAGTGTGCCAGGATTTGAGCCTAGGGACTGGGAGGCAGTGATTGCCTAAATGGAAGTAGAAAGTCAGGAGAAGCCAGTCTCAAAGGGAAGGCAAGGAGTTTAGTTTAGACCTGTTTACTTTTAGGTCCCAATGAGACATTCAAATGGAATCAAGTAAGTAGGCCTAGGAAATACAGGATGAGAGCTGTGAGAAGAGATAAGACTCAAGTGATATAGACTTAGGAATCACCCCCATAGAGGGAAAAGATGAAATTGTGGTAGACCACAAGTGGGAGAGTGGAGAAAGTGAAAAGATGGGGAATGAGCACAGGTCCGTAGGTAGGGGAAGGAGAAAGGAACCAATCAGAGCAAAAGGGTCACAGTAACCTTTTGAGAAATGGGTTAAGAATATATAGCAATAGTCTTCTTCAGTCATTGGTCATTGGCATATTTACTTTATTTAAATATTACCAGAAATAAACTGAAGATTACATTTAAGGAGAGGATGATGGTAACCTGGAATTTTCGCAATAAAGGATGTGTGAGTCAGGATCCTGGAGAGTTTTAGAACAAGACGGCAAAATCCCTTTTTGTCTTAAATGGTTTAGGTGCAGCCCTCCTAGAAGGTGGGCATGAGGTGTCTGATTCCATTCATTTATTCACTTATTCATTCAACCAATGTTTACTGAGCACCCAGTATATGCAGGAATTGTTCTAGATACTTGGGATAATCAGTGATCAAATAGACCCCCCAAAAAACCCAAAAACAAACAAACCCCTCCTGTTATGGTACTCACATTATAGTGAGGAAATATAGACACTCAACACATAAATAAATTATATAGTATGTTATTAGACAATATGTGCAATGGGAAAAGAAAAAACTATAAAACAGGACAAGAGAGATTGCGTAGTAGAGTTGGAAAGACTGTACTTTTATAAAAGGTGGTCAGAGTATGTTTCATTAAGATGACATCTGAGCAAAGACTTGAAGAAGGCAAATAGTTAGCCAGGAGTATATTTAAAGGAAGAAAGCGCCAGCCAGAGGGAATAGCTATGCGGAGACCCAAAGTTGGGAGCATGCCTGGCAGGCCTGAGAAACAGAGAGAGGCCTGTTTAGTTGGGGCAGAGTAGATGGCAGTAGGAGGGCAGTAGGAGATGAGGTCTGATAGACAATGGAGGGAGGGGAGTGGCAGATCCTGTAGGGCCTTGTAGAAACCTAATATAGTAACTTGCCGATAGTAGGTTTTCAATATATATTTGGCCAGTCATCTTTTGCAGTCCGGGATTATTATCAAATAGCATTTATCTATGTATTTATTAGAGTGATATGTGCCTACTTTATTCCAGGGACTTCTCAATAGCTCTATTTAAGGAAGGTATTAATAGGGCAGCAAAACCCTTGTGGGCAGTAGAGATCAAAATGAACACTGTATTATTGCAACCGGAAGCAGGAAACAAATGCCAGACGCTGTGGCTGCTGAATAACCGTGCTGGACGTTTCTGAAAAGCCTGCTAGGGTTGGGACAGTGCTCACTCCGTCATACTCACAAGCTGTATTCTGGTTGAAACATCTCTACCATAGAACATGGATCCATATTTCTAGCCTAAGAGGGGCAGCTTGAATAATTACCTTCCTTTCAGCTTTCAGTCCAGGTACCCTTTGCATTATTCCATGGATTTAGTTGTGACATTAACAAAGATCTCAGGTGGCTGTGGGTCTTAGTGCCTTGACCTCCAAGCCTGCAAAGACTATCCCAGCTTGCAGTGGTTGCATTTAATAAGTGTTGGTTGAAGGAACGAAGCCTTTTTTTCTTTTCTCATAGCCTATTTTCCCATAACCCCTAAAATGCAGGCTGTCCAAGAACTGACCACAGAAGCATCAGCCCCACCAAAGAGGAAGGAGGCAGGAGGGAGAGATAGGGAACTGCTTAGCAGGCTGTCAACAGGCTTTTAGGGGCTGGAGGGCTAACCACTGAGAAGGGCAAGATAAGTGAGAGTTCTTGGCTCTCTGTGTCTTATGAAATGAAACAAGCAGACTGTGTAGCTTGGGGCTAACTTCAGCCTGGGGTTTAAACTCAGACCCTTAATTAGGCTGTCTGGATCTGTTTTAACATCATGTCGAGTCCAAAGTTGTGAGTTGGAGCCTTGACTAGAAATAAAACTCTGTTCCCTGTGCTGAGCTCTGCTTAGCCTCTGCCAGCTGGTTGACAGGAGAATGATATGGAGAGAAAATAAATGGGCAAGTGAGGGACTGTTTCAAAACAAAGGCTGCCTGACACATCCCCAAACACACATCCTTTTAAGTGGATCAGCTGAGTCATCTTCACATATGAAGGAAGGACGTACTTATAGACTGTTTCTTACCCATAAAAAGGGCTCAACCACATTTCTTTAATCATCATGTCCACAAGTAGAAATAACTAAAGCTTACCAGATGCCCTTGAATATCAGTACATTACATTTAGAACCTCGTGCACCCTCAGCTCTTGTAGATGCTTTTTTTCTAAGTTCCTGTGCGGCACTGACTCTTTTCTGCAGGCCTAGGTTTGGTGAAAGCTTCAGTTCACACCATCGAGACCTTTCTATGGGTCACGGAGATCTTTTCATCTTAGGTTCCACAATTGGTTCATACAATACAGAAAGAAGGGCAGTGACTATATTTTGAACATAATTAGTTTGCAAAAATACGTCTAGTTTGTTAGATTTGACCCATCATCTCCCCGCTTATCATAAATTTCAAGTTTTATATCCAGAGAACCAGAAAGGAATTCTCAACCCTTGTTTCATCCCCAAGATTTCCTGGAAGGTACGTAAATATAAGTTTCAGGCTAGAAATGACCTTAGCAATCATCTGGTTCAACCTTTTCATTTTACTGATCAGGAAACTAAAAGCCAGCCCATTTTTATAACCTAAAAACAGGGTGCCCTGGGGCGGGCCCTACAGCATAGTGATTAAGTTTGGCACCCTCTGCTTCAGCAGCCCAGGTTCACTGGTCCGGATCCCAGGCATGGATCTACACCACTCTCAGGCACGCTGTGGCGGCGACCCACATATAAAGTGAAGGAGGATTGGCACAGATGTTAGCTCAGGGCTAATCTTCATCAGCAAAACAACAAAATGAAACAGGGTGCCAGTCCTTGGTGCTGTTGCTAAATTCTCATTTGCCAATGGCCACATTCTTGTCACAACCTGGGCCATTGGACCCAGTGCTGTTCGCTGCCTTCTCCTGCCGAAGTGACAGGACAGTCACAGATTAGCAGGACTTCTAAGTCTCAGGCAGTGAATGCCTGATTAAACTGGCTGACGTGGTCACAAGGAAGCAAAATGCATCCACCCAGAAACCTCTGCAGTTTTCCAAGCAAATGGTGTGTTCAGTGCGTTCATTTTTTCTTTCCATTTGAAAAGTTCCTCCTGAGTTTCCAGCTCTTGTAGTCACTGTTCATGGCCTGGCCTGTAACCCTGAGGCTTTGGGAGGGGGCACTTCCGACAGGGATAAAGGCTTGTGCTTTAGGCTGGATTTCACTGCTTAAAATGTCCTTCTCTCTCTGTTGTGCTTCTTTTTTTAAAGAATGGTGGAGCGAGGGGATGGTTGTCCTTGAGCTATTCCAATTTTTTTTTGTTATAGCACACCTATCCCTCACCAAAGTTGGAAGAATTATACACTGTCATTTATACTCAGATCTCTTGTCATTTAAATGCAAGAGGCTTCAGTCTTTCTTGCTTTCTTTTTCTTTGTCCTTTTTGAGGGCAGTGGTGGTGTTGCTAGACTCTAAGCTCTGTTGTCAGGCTTGGGCAGTGCCTGGTCCATAGTGGGAGATGAATGAATGAATGAATGAATGGGAGCATTATTCTATAAATAGCTTGTGGTTTAGAAAATCAACTAAATACATCAAATTCTACATCTGGCATTGAGACTTGCATGATTCTCAATCTTCATTGAGAGGTATTATATCCAGAGAACCTGAGAGGGATCCCCAATTCCTTGCTCTAACCTTGAGATGTAGCGGAGGAGCTCTTAGAAGACAGCTTTTTACAAACAAGAGGAAACTTTGTTCATATGATCATTCTCAGAGTAACTATGAAACTTGGCTAAGATCAAAGAGAGCTAGTGGCAAATCTGGGACTGGAATTAGCCCTCCTTGTCCCCATTCCGTAGTTTTCTTACTACATCAGACAGTCTTGCTAGTGACTATCAGTACAAGGCAGATTCAAGTTCTGTGACACTGACGTCCTCATAGACCGAGAACAGGATTAGAAGATACATGGTATACATACCATGACACTTCCTCCTGGTGCCCAGAGGAGACGTCACTATTGATCATAACGCTTTTCCCCTTGAGTCTGGACAGGACCCTAGGCAGCCACTACCAACCAATCAGAGTTGACAGTCACGGTGAAACCTCTAGAGGAAGTAAGGATTTCATAAGCCAATGAACTCTGGTCTTGACCCATCTTCTTAAGATGAGCTGAACCTCCAGCCAGGGACCTCACTCCCTCTATTGCTCTTCACTGTCCCCACATCCCCAAAGGACTTAGAGGTGATGTCTGCAAGCAGGTTTTCCACAGCATGGGTCTGCCAGACAGAGCAGGTGCAGTTATTAGTCATGACTCCAAGCCAGGCAAGGTGATTAAGAAAAGCTAAATTTATATTAAATTACCATAAAGTCCTAAAATACTGAACATAGTGGTTAAATAACTCCAGAAAGTCCAATCTCTCCAGTGAGTAACGTTAAAACCATTACACATGAGCGTGGGAGAATCACTTCCATTAGTTTAGGACAGAGATTTTGCTTTTTACACAGTAAATCAGTGCTCAAATAGATATTTCTTCAAATATGTCCTTTCTACATTCTGAGCAGCCCAAGTGCAATAAGATCCTTCCCCCTTCCCACTCAAGAAAATGCCACTTTTCTACTTTCTCCCCGTCCCCAACCGTGAGTCTGAGGACCCAAAGTGCCCGTTCTTTTACTGCCCCATCAAGTGTCAAACGTGCCCCTCTCCTCCCAGAAGAGGGACCTCACCCTTCCCACTTTGTGTACTGGGAACACCTTCTTGGCCTGGCCTGGCTGTCCTGTATAGGCCCAGACCTGGGGCTGACGACTGAGAGCAGGGCTAAGGCTTGGCTCCTGTCTCTAGCAATCTAGAACTGACCACAAAACGTTTGTTCTTGTCCTCCTTTTTCCATCACATGTGTTAGCTGATTTCTCAATACCAATAACCATAGGAGATGTTTCAAATCCAGAAACTTCTCTAGAAGTCCTCCCCTCCATTCTCAGCCCGTGCGGTCCTCTCCTGGCACTTCTCATGCCTGGGTGGAAGAGGTCTGGATCTGCCCTGGGCTGAGAGGGCTTCGTCAGGGCTTCTCACTGCCTTTCTACTCCTTGCCCCCCACTTTCCATCTTCATTTGGCCCCCCTCACCACAGGTGCTACAGGGCTGGGTCAGAAAAAGCAAATTAGGCCAAAAAACAAAAACAAAGAAGAGTTACGTAGAAGTTTTAGGACAGAAAAAAGTCTCAACTCCCCTGATGCTAGCATGAGACGGGTGCCCTTTGTGTGAATAAGCAGGACCCAAGTGATGGCATCTCAGCATGGAAAGTAAGTCACTTAGCTGAGAAGAGAGTTGGAATGGGACGTCACCACATGTAGCCACAGGCTCCCTGTCCACTAACTTAGATCCCTGAGCACTTGAGAGAGAACACAGGAGCTCAAGCTCACAGATACTTCCCTTTAGGCCCTGGGTGCCCCAAGTCTCTAACCCAATCGCTCTTCCTGACAGTTTATGAAAACTTCTGGCCTGTCTTTGAAAAGTCGTTTCAGGATCTCTGTGCTCAGAATCGCAGAGGAGGAGGAGGAGGCAGAGAGTGGCAGAACATTAAGGTCCAGGTGATATGCGATGTTAGGTCTCGGCAGCACTTCTTAGACAGCGCAGAGACTCAGCCCTCAGGGCCCCTCATTCACTCAAGCTACTAGCTCACAACCTGGTTACTTAGAGTCAAAGACTTAGAAAAGGTACTGGCCAGTGGTGGCACCAGGAGGGAATTTATATGAGCCAGCTGCCACACGATAGGGGCCCCCAGTCATCTGAAGGCAGAAAAGGCTCCAGACATTCTAGCAGGAGTAAGAAGAGCTTGAGCCACACCCAGACCTTACCAGTTGAAAAAACAGCAACTCTTAGAGCAAGAATAAGATCCATTGCCAGCAATGGACAGGACATCCAGGCCCAACTACCCCTAAAAGCTTTTTCATATTACCAACGCGCTTGAGGCTGGAGGTTTCCCAGATGCCCATACCAGCTGGGCTGACTCCTCCTTCTCTCAGCCTCTATCCTTCATCTCTCCCTTTACCCATGAGCTCCCCCCTGGGCCCTCCAGCCCCCTGGCCCCTGGCGGGCAAGTGCTCTTAGAGAAGTCAGGCCAGCTCTGATGGGGGAGAATGCAGTCCTGGGTCATCAGCTCTCTTGGGGCAGGCACGGAGGGTACCAGCGGGAAGGGGAGGTGGAGCTCTGTAGCGACGAGGAATCATTACTGAGCCTAGTTTCAGGGGGCTCAGAACGGAGTGCAAGAGGTGAGGTTCGTGGTAAAATCCAGGTCTAAGTTCTCGGGATGAGCCATCATTTCTTGTGCACGGGTAATTACGGACTCAGGTGGAAAGGGCTCCCATGGAGGGCTTGGGAGCGGTTACGGGGTGGGAGGAGGAGGAGCAGGACGAGCACAGAGGAAGGGGGCCTGTTGTATAAGCGAGCATAAGGACTGAGGTCCATAAAGGAGAAGGAACAGGTGGGGAGGCAAGGGAACACGGGCATTTAGACCTGGCTCTCTGAGGAGAGCTTGCGTTCATGTTTCCAGCCTGTGTCTGGCAGAGAGCCCCGTCTTTCTGGAGTGGCTGCGGTATGGACACTGCTACACTCAGACTGCTCTTCCTGCAACAGCTGCTCCGTCTCTGTGTCATCCAGGGAGCCAGAGCTGGCCTGGATGGACACTGTGTCTGTCTTCATGCACACATGATCCCGAAGAAGGCCGCCCCGTGAGCTGCGCAGTTGCTTGAGGTCATCCCACTCAGCATCATCCCCAGACAGGAGGCAGATTCCCTCTACAATCTTGATCTTCTCCTTGGTATAGTTATGGTCAGGTCCACCCTAGGGTGGAGAGTGGGGAGACAGTCAGTTAGTTGGCTCTCTATAAAGGATCTCATGGTGAACAAAAAAAGAAAATGGATGAGATAAGAGTGGGTGTGAAGAGCACAAAAATCCCACAAGCAAATGGGGAAACTTGGTCAGCACAAATATATGAGGCTTAGTCTAAAAGGAGAGGAGCAGTAATAATTATTACTATTCCCATACAGGGAGGAGGGAAAACCATGATTTCAAGTCCTGCGTCAGCCAATCACTGGCTATGTCACCTGGGGTAAATTACTTAACGTCTCTAAAACTCAGTCTCCACATCTGCAGTGTGGGGAGAAGAACAGCATCCATACCTCATAACCAATTGCTGTGAGGGTTAAATGAGGCAATACATGGAATGCAATTAGTAGGTGCTTGACACACAAGATGCACTAAATCATGTTAGCTGTTGTCACATTGTTATTGTGGTTTATTAATGGGACATCATGCTGACAGACATAACCAAAAGCAATTGAGAAAGCAATTAAATGTGCATTTATTTGGGATTTTAAACTATTTTATTCTTAATTCTCTTCTTTCTAATTTTGTTAAGAAGAAAAGTTTTGGGAGGTAAGACAAGCGAGATCTAGAAAAATCCTCTTATTTGGGTTCTAAGGGTGATCCATGGGGGTCCTGTCACCTATAAGCTTTTGTGGGAGGTTATTCTGGCTCTGCTCCCACGAGCCTTGGGGCCATTCCCAAGCAACCTGGGATGGTTCCAAGGACGGCCTTTAGTGCTACTCAGGCTTCTCCCTTTATGGATTCCTCAAAGGGTAGCCTTACTCCTGGTTTCTGGGGGATACCAACCAACATGCCGCCACTGCCAGGAGAAAATGGGCCAAGGCGTGGGTTCTGTCCCTGGAATAGCGTTCCTGCCAAGAGGCCTCCAAGTGCTGCCCTATTTTAGTAACAATTCAGTTCCACAGATATTCATTGAGCCCCTGCATCAAGCAGGACACTTGGATGATTACACAGTATAAAATATGGTCCCTGCCCTCTGGGAGTGACAGCTCCCTCGATCAAGCAGAAAGACACACAGACAGCACACAAGCACACATGCATGCACATATACATGTCCAGTCACCCAGCACACCCTCCAGGCTGAAGTTAGTGTAAGATCAGATGCAGGCCACTAGGGGTCTTCAGCACAGAGACGCGCTGAGTAAGTGAGGGAGAGGTGGGGGACATGGCACTAGTAATTTGGGGGATACCAATCCCTTTACAAACACACAGGTACCTGAAATCAAGAGGAAGTCAGAAGAGAAAGGGTGAGAGACTATCAGAGGGGTGAAAGAGCTGTTGAGGAAAAAGCATACGACAGAAGAAAGAGGTCACATCGTTTTAAGTTCTATCTTATGGCTCCTATTGTGGCTTTTTCCTGCGGCATCAGACACTCCAGGAACCCAAGACTCTACGAGAATCTTTCTCTCAAAGATATGAAGTGCGAAGGGGTCTCCCAGCCCTAAAACTGCAAGCTATCCCTGCAGGTTCTGTTTTGGCTCGCAGTGGAAGCTTTTTTCATAGGGGAATTCATGGATCCAGAAAGCAAATGATTCTTATGTAAAGCATATTCATTATGCATGGCAGCCCTGGAGGTGTGAGGGCAGGTTTTGAGTGTGCTGGACAGACCAAGAGAGGAGACTGATTAGGGTCTCAGAAGGGGTAACTTCTTCTTTTTTTTTTTTTTAAATCACGTTTTTCTTTTTTTTTTTTTTTAAAGATTTCATTTTTTCCTTTTTCTCCACAAAGCCCCCCGGTACATAGTTGTGGGTCCCTCTAGTTGTGGCATGTGGGACGCTGCCTCAGCGTGGTTTGATGAGCAGTGCCATGTCCGCATCCAGGATTCGAACCAACGAAACACTGGGCCGCCTGCAGCAGAGCGCGCGGACTTAACCACTCGGCCATGGGGCCGGCCCCAAGAAGGGGTAACTTCTGAAGAAAGGGTTACAGGATTTTAGAAAAAACAAGAGCCACGTCATATGAGGAAAATCTGAAATCCCAGGCTATAGATCTCTGGTGGAAATGGGACTATTTTTTATGCCTAAACATTCAGCAAATAATTTTTCACTGAAGCAACAAAGGAGTTAAGAAAACAAAAGCACATAAAGCTTCCGAATTCTAGAGAAATCTTTTAAGACTCTGTGATAAGAGGAAGAATAGCAAAAAAGCAGCCATTCTCAGCCGCAGGTGCCAAAAGCTTGGATCAGAGGTTAGAAAAGGGAGAGTCCAGGAGCTCTTGGGTTTTCTGGGTGTTCTAAGAGTCTAGGGTTGTTTCAGAGGGGCATAGCCTCACTGCAGGGGAATCACAACTCCAGGAGGGCAAGAATTGATAAGCCTGGGAAAATATCCCCTGGCAGGGAGGTACACATGCACATGCCTTCAGACCTAAACCTTCCAGAATCTGCTTTCTAACCCTGCTCTCACTGGGGTCCCTCAAGCTGGTGCCTCAGAGATTTTAGACCTCTCCAGAAACCCAAACCACATTCAGTTCTTCTGTCACTCTAACTTTCAAAATGGTAGATGGGACTACCAGCATCCCTTACTGACCTATTCAGGCAATTGGAGAATAATTGCTGCCCCACACTCCCCCTCAAAAAAAACTTCGAATATAAATTTTATTTTTTACCTCTTTCTTATAGCACAGTTGATTGTACATGGCTGGTGTTGGGATTGCTTCAATTTTCACTTCCTGAGTGGAAGTTCGGTAGGAGGGGTTGCTGTAGGTCAGGTTCCCCAATCCAGGATCGGTTAACTTGGATTTTTTGTGTCTTTAGGAGGAAAGGTAATGAAAAATTAGTTCAGATCTTTATGGGGGTGATGTCTGGGGAAGCTGTAACCTGAGTGTGGTGGGCAGCCTCTAAGATGGCCCCCGTGATCTCCACCTCCTAGTACTCACACCTTCTGAATCCTTACCCCCTCAGCGTGGGCTGGATCTGGTGACTCACTTCTGATGAACAGAATATGCAAAAGCAATGGATACCAGATTAGGTTACAGAGAAACTTGTGGCTTCCATCTCAGGTTGCCCTCCCTTCCTCACTCTCTCTTCCTCTTGCTCTGGGGAAGCAAGCTGTCATATTGTAAGTTGTCCTGTGGAAAGGCCCACAAGGCAAGGAACTGTGAGGGAGGTCTCTAGCCAACAGCCAGCAACAGCCTATGAGGAACTGAAGCCTGCTAACAACTACATAAGTGCTCTTGGAAGGGAATCCATCCCCAGTCAAGCCATGAGATAAGACCTCAACCCTGGCTGATACCTAGATTGAAGCCCTGGGAGAGACCTTGACACAGAGACACCCAGCTAACTGCATCTAGATTTCTGACCTGCAGAAACTATGAGATAACAAATGGTTGTCATTTTAAGTTGCTGAGTTTTGGGGTAATTTGTTACACAGCAATGGATAACTAATACACTGAGCTTTAGAGTCAAGACAGATCTGTTTCAATCCCATCTCTGTTACTTACTAGCTGGGATCTTGGTGGACATAATCTAAACTTTCTGAGCCTCACATCCTCATCTGTAAAGTGAGGAATAATAATACCTGTATCAGCAGGTTGTTGTGGCATTGATATATATTCATTAAATGGTAACTATTATTGTTATTTTTATTATTAGCAGGAGCCACAGCAGCAAAATCCTGACATTTTTGCTGCAAGCTGTGTTTAAAGCATTTTGGGGAAAATTTATAGAGAGAGGGTCATAAAAAGAAGACTCTAAATTGAAAATGACACAGTCCACCTTCCCAGGATGATCCCTCCCAAGTAATGATATATCAACCAATACTGTAGTAAAGGGTTGAGTTTACGCGAAGAGAAAATCATTTCCAACTTCAATGGTTTGAAGTAGGGTGGGGTAGTGGGAAAAGCAAAGATGCTAGAGGCAGTCCCAGCTTTGCCTCTTCCTGTGTGACCTTGGGTAACACCCTCTGTGCCCTCAGCATCCTAGACTATAAAGAAAACCCCAAAGGTTGCTGTGGTCATGATACGAGGAAACTGCTTGGGCTGTGACTGGGGAAGAAGAGTAAGTATTCAGGTTTCTGCCCCTCCCTTCTGCTGCTCTGACCAGGGACCCAACCTCGAAATGAGGCTGGTCAGAGGTCAAATCAGAGAGCCACGGAGCTTCAGAAGATCCCAGATGGGCTAATGAGGACCAACAACCATGTGGCCCCTGCAGCGAGGCGGAGGTTACCTGTACAGCATCAAAGCTGCAATCACCACCAGAATCAGCAGAATACTGAGGAGTCCACCGATGACATAGCTGACATGGAGTCCTTCCCCTAGGAGAACAGAGAGACTACATGGAGACCACTAACTGGTGGTGTGGGAGGTGGGAAAATGGAGGGCTCCTATTGTAGGTGTCGGATCCCACACCATCTGAGAATGGCTGGAGGCCTCCTTCTCAGAGGAGGGGCCACAGGAGGTGGCGACAGAGGACTGAAAAGAAACCTATACTCTGTCAGCATCTCTAATCCCAGTTCCACTGCTTACTAGCCGTGTGACTTAAGGCAAGATGCTTAAATTCTAAGCCTATGTTTCCTTATCAGTTAAAAGTAAATAATAATTTGCTCACAGGGCTGATGGACGTTAAATGAGATGTGTATATATATTATATATATATATATATAATATATATACACACACACATACATACACACACACGCACATATATAAGGCCTAACAAATGCCTGGCACGTGGAAACCACTCCATAAGTGGTGGCTAACGTGATTATTCATTCTATGTATTTAGTCTAAGAAAAGGGGTCACCAACCCCAAGAGTCCCCATGAAGGTTCTGGAAGCTATCAGTGGAGACTCAGATTCCTTCCACCTTCTTTTTCAAAACAGGTGGGCACTCAGGGCTTACCTGGAGCAGCAGGTACGGCCTCATTGGAATGTGCACAGAGGCCCAGCTGGGTATCCTTTTCAGAGCATCTGTGGGGCACAGAAAACTGAATGTGAAGGCTACTTGTATTTGACAAAGATCTTGCCTTCCTCTAGGAAAGGGGGAAAGTCCTGTGAAGATCAGGGTGACAGGCCTGGGAGTGGGGCTTTCCGATGTGAGCGTGTACCAGATGGGAGGTACCAGAAGCACGGAGACAGCAGGCCCAGGAAACACAGGGCAATCAGTGTGAGTCACTGTCTTCAAGATGCTATATCATGTTTCAATGGATTTTAAAATATGTACTCTTTAAAAAGGAGAAGCAGGTTTGGGAGGGAGCTGGAAGTCTGCTGAAAGAATAATAAGGACATCAGTAGTGGCTTTATTCAACTACCAGGATGAGTTGGAAGAAGCTACAAGCCAAGCAACCCTCTGATTGGATAAAAATCATCACAAGATCTAATTAGAACTTGAAAAACAAAATTGTTTTTCTTCCCTTCATTCTTTCGCAAGGGAATATGCAAGACATCCAAAGGGAGGGCCCCGAGAACTAACTTGAAATGCTAAGAAGGTAATTTCTTTGTGGCACATTATGAGCAGGCAATTAAAGGCATCTCCTAAAAAGCTACTTGTAAGAGCATTTGAAACCACAATGCATCAAGTGTTCAAATAGAACTCTGACAGTAAGAAAACAGCTGAGTTGGGTTCAAAAGTTTTCTAAACACACCTAAAGAAAATCAGATTAATAACAATGGACAGTACTTAAAAGTTAGTGAGAAAGGTACACGTTTATATCTGGGTGTTTGCTTTTCCATATAAAGCCTTCAGAAAAGAGAAAATGGGGCATATAGAATGAATTTGATCATGTGTATATCTTAAAATTTTAGGGCCAATTAGTCTAGAGTTCTTATTTGGAATTATTAGTATGTTTCTGCTTTCAGACTTGAAACAAAGTGTTAATTATCTTTTAAGCTACGGTTGATATTAAAAATAAAGAGACCAGTATATTATAATGAAAAAAACTGTTCTAATAGAAAAGTGTCTGGAAATATAGATATCAAAATAGTAAGAGTAAGAAATGAAATCACTATCTCGAAAAGATTCAATGCAGTATTATTTACAACAGCCAAGATATGGAAACACCTAAGTGTCCATCAAGGGATGAATGGATAAAGAAGATATGGTATATGTATACAATGGAACATTATTCAGCTATAAAAGAGGAAATCCTGCCATTTGTGACAACATGGATGGACCCTGAGGGCATTATGATAGGTGAAATGTGAGACAGAGAACAACAAATATTGTACAATCTCACTTAAAAAAAAAAAAAGAACTCATAGATGCAGAGAACAGATTGGTGGCTGCCAGAGGTAGGGGGTGGGGGGGGCGTGAAATGAGTGAAGATTGTCAAAAGGTGTAAACTTCCAGCTATAGATAAGTGAGCCTCGGGGATATAACTGACACCATGGTGATTATCATTAATAATACTGTATTGCCTATTTGAAAGTTGCCAAGAGACTAGATCTTCAAAGTTCTTATCACAAGAAAAAAAAATTTGTAACTATGTGTGGTGATGGCTGTCAACTAAACTGATTGTGGTAATCATTTCGCAATATATACATATAGCAAATAAAAAATATTAAGAGTAATTATATATGGAGATATATGTACATATTTCTTTATTCCTATCTGTAGTTCCAGATTATATTTTGCAAAGTGTAAATAAAAAATACTTATAAGAATTTCTCGGGGCTAGCCCCATGGCTGAGTGGTTAAGTTCGCGCGCTCTGCTCCGGCAGCCCAGGATTTCACAGGTTCGGATCCCAGGTGCAGACGTGGCACCACTCGTCAGGCCATGATGAGGTGGCATCCCACATGCCACAACTAGAAGGACCCACAACTAAAAATATATACAACTATGTGCCAGGCGGCTTTGGAGAGAAGAAGGAAAAATAAAATTAAAAAAAAAGAAGAATTTCTCTAAATTGAATGTAACATCATATTTCATCAATTTTAAGATGTGCATTTTTCTATATTCTAACATCTCTGAAATAGAAATGTGTCTTACTATCAATGGCATCTCACAATTGCTGTTAGTCATTTTTTCAGTTTAATCTCCTAAATCAGGATGTACTTCAAATTGACAGCACCTTCAATTTCATGAACTATAATATTTTATACTTGATTTTAGAACCATTCATGGTTATGCTTGCTTGTCTAATAATGGTGTGTGTGTGCACATGCACACACATACATGCATGTGTGTTTGAGTATTACAAGTCATTATAAGCTGAGGCTATCACGTTCCTGGGGAGGTTCCAAGTGATAAAGTCACAGCCCAGAGATCACTATAACTTGGTGAGGCTTCTAAGTAAACTGTAGGACGAGACCATATGCTAAACCTGTTATGTGAGAGCAAATGTCACAGAAAGAAAGGAAGGAGGAATGCCAAGAGGAAACTCCTCCTGAGCGATTTCTCTCTAAAGCTGCTCTTAAAGCTTCTTGCCCTCAGAGCTAAAAAGAGAATCATTTGCAATAATCTACAAGTCTAAACATCTTCTCCAGTTCCAAATAGCAGGGACTGATAGCTAATGACGTGATCCACCCTCCTTCTCCCAGAATGCTCAAGCTAGGAGTATGGTCTTCTGCTGGCAGGGGATGGTGATTTGAACCAAAGGGCCCACCTACCTTCCTCCCACCTCCTCCAGAGATGTGCGCGTCTGGGTGGTAGGAGAACGCAAGGTGGTAGGTAGTGTGTTGGGTAGCACTGGGCTCCTTTCACTCATGCTGGTCGCCCTGGGAGCTGGGGGCACCAGGCCAGGTACTGGAGAGAAAAAGAGGACTGGAGTGGGCCACTGGGGCCCAAAATCTCGACATATGGTCCAAGAGCAGCATCTGGAGAACTTAACACAGCACCCTTTTAGCTGCCCTAATCCTAGATATCCTCATTGGAGGCCCTTCTTAATACCGTAAATAACAAACTCATTGCTCCCAGGCCCTCTGCCATAAGAGCTCCAGAGGGGGATCCAAGCCAGAAGGACAAAGCTGAGGCTGCTGATCCCCCACCCCTCCACGGGCTCTGCTATTCCAGGGGGCCATTCATTCCAACTCACCAAGGGAGCAGGGCTGGCCATCGGGCTCATCAGGACAGGCACACACAAAGTCCAAAGCTCTGGCAAAGCAGAGGTGGGTGCAGCCACCGTTGTTCACACCACAGGCATTGGTCCCTGTGGGCAAAGCAGGTGCGTGTCTGGTCTGGGACAGAGTCAGGTCTCCCAATTTGACACTTCTCAAAGAGGGGGCGATCCAGGGCTACCCCCCTCCCAGGGATAGTAGGGCAGGAGGGGTATAACCACAGGGGGCTGCAAAGGTCTAAGAGCTTAAAATGTGAACCAAAAGGCTCTCCTGTGGCTCTAATTGTCTTGGTCATTAACAGTCCTTGGGGTGACCAACGAACCCCACTGATGGAAAAGAAGCAGGCTCAGGACCCAGGAGCCCACCTGTCTGCCGCTGAGGGGAAACCACAATGATATCCATGAGTCCTTCCACGTTGGCCAACACTGTCTCCTTGTTCCGGCCTGAGTACTTGTCAACACGCTGGATTGACTTGGTCTGCCAGTCTGTCCAGTAGATCCACCTGTCCTGCTACTCAATAGAGAAACACAAGAAAGGGTAAATATTCAACAGTCTGACCCTGGTACAGCTTCCGTGCCTCAGCACGTGCATCCCCTCTGCTGCAATGCCCTCTTCGTCTCTTACCACCAGGTCAACTTCTGGGCATCCCCAGATATGACATCATCCAGGAAATCTCCCCCAATCTATGCAGAGTTTTCCATTCTCTCCTCCACGCTGTTCTGTGCCTTGTCCTCACTTCTACAAGTGAGTTTTGATACTTGATGGTCATTTGTTTACATGTCTGTCTTCCTTGCCAGATTAAGTTCTTTGAGGACAAGAATGTGTTTCATTCACCTCTCTACTTCCAGCACCTAACACTTAGTCATCAGTCAGTTGACTGAGAGGCTCAGTGAATAAACGAGCTCTGTGCCCAGCAAATAGAAATAAGTTGGGGGGTTCTTCTAAGATCCCTGTTCTTCTGGGCCCTTCACTCAGAGCCCTGGCCCAAATGCTCTGATTACGTCTGTGGGCAGCTGCCTTCTAATGCAGGGATCCTGAGATTCTAAAGCAGGGATGTGAAAGGGCAATGAAGGCGGTTCCCCTCCCACCCCCAGGGGATATATCAGCAACCCCAGGGGAAACTCATAGATTGAAAAACAATATTTATGGGGCCCGGCCCGGTGGCACAGTGGTTAGGTTCACACGTTCCACTTCTCGGCAGCCTGGGGTTCACCAGTTCGGATCCCGGGTGCGGACATGGCACTGCTTGGCAGAAAGCCATGCTGTGGTAGGCATCCCATGTATAAAGTAGAGGAAGATGGGCATGGATGTTAGCTCAGGGCCAATCTTCCTCAGCAAAAAGAGGAGGATTGGCAGTAGTTAGCTCAGGGCTAATCTTCCAAAAAAAAAACCCAACCATATTTAATATTACCCTGTAGTTGCATATTCAGAGGATGGGGGGGAAAAAAGCCTATCATTAAGTAAAGCCAGACAAAATCTTATTGGCTGGTAGGATATAAGACAGAACATAGGTAGAGTGGATATTTGTAAAAAAAGGGACAAAGATTGAGAATGCCTGTTTTGGCCACAGGCTTGGTAGCCCTTCTTTTTCCCTTCCCCGAATGATTTTATAGGATTAGAACTTTCAAAAATGACATCTAATAATAATTAAAATGGCTAGAAATAATACGAATTGAGTGCCAGATACTGTGCTAATGCTTTGTATATATTTCAGAAGGATACTATTATTTTTTTTTTTTTTGAGGAAGATTAGCCCTGAGCTAACTACTGCCAATCTTCCTCTTTTTGCTGAGGAAGACTGGCCCTGAGCTAACATCCATGCCCATCTTCCTCTATTTTATACATGGGACGCCTACCACAGCATGGCTTTTTGCCAAGCAGTGCCATGTCCGCACCTGGGATCTGAACCGGTGAACCCCGGGGCCACTGAGAAGCGGAATGTGCGTACTTAACTGCTGCACCACTGGGCCAGCCCCCAGAAGGATACTATTATTAAACTCATTTATTTTATAGGTAAACAAAGCTTAGAGAAGTTCAGTATCTTGTCTAAAGTTGCACAATTACTTAATGTCACAGGCAGAACTTGCACCCACAGAGCTGGCACGTTGGAGGTATTCAGTGAACACTTAGTGACTAGGTAGCTGCCTCCAGACTCTGGATCTTAGCTGCTCCACCCTACTCCCGCTATATGAGCTGCCTGAGCTCAGACGTTGGGACCACAGCATTAGGATCAATGGGAGAACTTGTTAAAATACATGTTCCTGGGCCCAACTCTCATGAAGCAGATTCTTTATATCCAGGGCCCAGAAATGTGCATTTTAACAAGCTCCACAGCTGATGCTGTACACTACTGAGAGCCACTCCTTTGAATGCTAGAACATGGGAGTGGTGGGGCAAGAACAGCAGAGCACGCGGTGGCAAGGCTTCAGTGTACAGGAAGCACCCCTAAAATGAGTTTCCACAGCACACCAGTTCAGTAGCACCCAGGGCTGAGGCTGTTGACTTAGAACCCCAAGGAATCACCCCCAGCAAGGAGGTTTAGTTACCTCTCTCCTGAGCCAGTACCTGAGTGAGGGCAAAGGGGTGGGACACATGGCTGACCAAGACCTGCCGTAGCTTCCCGCTGAGGTCAGCGCTCTCAATCCGGTCCAGATGTGCGTCTACCCAGTAGATCCTGTGAAGAAAAGGAGAGAAGGGTGGCTGCTCAAAACGCTTGCCAGGAAGCCCAGCCCTTCCCCCTAAGGGGCTCTCTGTCCCCTCCCGAGCTGAAGTGGCAGGTGCTGTGAGCGGTCAAGACGCACCCTTGATGAGAGGGCGCTGTGAGCCCTGAAGCTGAAGAGGGGAAGCTGGGGACTCCTGAGAGGGGAGGCCAGGGCTGTTCTGGGGAGGGGCAGAAAGTCGAGTGACTTCGTGGGAGCCCCCACACAGTTTCATCTTGGGTAACTTGATTATTCTTTGACTCCTACCCAAGAATCTAAGCCCAAATTCTTACAAACGCTCTTCAAGAGAAGACTCAGTCTACAAGGACCTCACTGAGGTGAACGGAAGAGAGCATTCTACCAACCCTGCTGGTGACTTTGCCTCCTTTCCCTTCTTCTGAGGGCAGAAAGGGGAGCTGACCGCTTCAGACTCCTTTCACCCTCTTCTCCTGCCCTCTGGCGTTTTTATCTAGACCAGGAGTTGCACATTTCAGTGCCTGAAGGGATCAGGAGAGGAACAAAGGTGAAGAATCAGCCCTTAGATGGACAGCGGGTGGTGGGACCTGCGGTTCAGCCAGAGGATGTGCTCTGCTAAAGGCACTCAAGTTAAAAAGATGGAGACCAGATGAACAAAACCCACCTGAGGGTTGAGGGCTGGATTTAGCAACCCCTGCCCTAAGAATTCCTCATTCTTCTCCCTGCTTTCTCTTCCCACCTACCAAGGAGCTTCCTGTCTTTTTGTTTTCACTGCTTCCATCTCAACCATCCTCTCCTCTGCCTACCCGATTTCCAGGAGCCTGTTGGGACAGGGGTCCCACCTGCGGGTATCATAGTCCAGGGTAAGGCCATTGGGCCAACCCAGATCCGTGTTGATGAGAACCTTCCGCTCAGAGCCGTCCAAGTTCGCCCGCTCAATCTTGGCAATGTGGCCCCAGTCCGTCCAGAAAAGGTACCTGAGACAGAAAAGTGCCATCATCACCAAGGCATTGGAAGAGGGCTCCCGGGGGTTGGGAAAATACAAGTGACACACAGATACCATTAATATACAAGGCATCAATAGACACATGAAAAGATGTTCATCGTCACTAATCATAGGGAAATGCAAATCAAAACTACACTAAGATATCACCTTACACCTGTTAGCATGGCAAAAATATCCAAAACCAAGAGTGACAAATGTTGGAGAGGCTGTGGAGAAAAAGGAAGCCTCATACACTGCTGGTGGGAATGCAAACTGGTGCAGCCACTATGGAAAATGGCATGGAGATTTCTCAAAAAGTTAAAAATAGAAATACCTTATGACCCAGCCATCCCACCACTATTGGGTATCTATTCTAAGAACCTGAAATCAGCAATTCCAAAAGTCCCATGCACCCCTATGTTCATCGCAGCATTATTCACAATAGCCAAGTCATGGAACCAACCTAAGTGCCCAGCAACTGATGATTGGATAAAGAAGATATGGTGTATATATATATATATATATATATATATATATATACAATGGAATACTACTAAGCCATAAAAAAGGACAAAGTCATCCCATTCACAACAACATGGATAGACCTTGAGGGTATTATGTTGAGTGAAATAAGCCAGACAGAGACAGACGAACTCTGTATGACTCCACTCATAGGTGGAAGTTAACATATAGACAAAGAGAACTGATAGGTGGTTACCAGGGGAAAGGGGGGGTGGGGGGAGGGCACTAAGGGTGAAGTGGTGTACCTACAACATGACTAATAATAATGTACAACTGTAATTTCACAAGGTTGTTAACTATCATAATCTTAATAAAAAAAAAAAAGTAGTTAAAAAAATATATATATACAAGGCATCCTCCAAGGGCCTCTTCACCAAGTCCTTCTCCCCAGGTCTCTTTTCTGCTGGCCATGAACTTACCCTTTCCTGGGGAAAACAGCAATGGCCCGAGGCTCATCCAGGCTGTTGTTGATCAGCACCTTGCGGCAGGAACCGTCTAGCCTCGAGGCTTCAATGGTATTTCGCCCCGTATCTGTCCAATACAGATTTCTGGCCACCCAGTCCACTGCCAGCCCGTCGGTGGTCTTCAGCCCACGCCCGATCACTGTCTCCATGTTGCTGCCATTCAGATCTGCTCGCCTTGGGGAACAGCCCAGGGTTGGATGACTGACCAGACTGACCAGCAGTAGGCTGAAACCCCTTTAATCTAGGATTCCATAACTGGATTCCCACTACCGTGTAAGCTCCATAGCGGAAGAGACCAACTATCTGTACATACATCCCCCAGCATCTAATATAGTGGGTATTCAAAATATTTGCAGAATTAATGGATAAATCCTTTGGAGTGCAGTGTTTCCTGTCATCAATGGGGAGCATGTGGGTCCATGTCTTACGAGAAGACAGGTTAATAATCCCCGTATACTTTAACGAAGAGACAATCCTTGCTCGGTGGTGATTCTAAGAAAGGCAGCTTTTTCAAAAGCTGCCTGTGTGTTTTCATAGAAGTCCTACACCAGGGAGTTCAACCTCAGGATGAGGGGCATGTCACAAACACGTGGGGGACTTCTCTAAACTACATACGCCCACCTGCCCCCAGCAAGAGATTCTGAAACATCCCTCATGGAGAACCAAAGGGAACGGTCCTGTTCTTCCACGTGAGAATCTCTGCCCTGGTAAACCTCTCTTACTGGTGGCAGGGCATCACATTCCTCAGCTGTGTTGGGGCAAAAAATTGAAAGAATAATAAAAATTAAAATAAACCAAGAAATGTTCTTTAAAAAAGTATAACCTTGTGAACAACCATAAGTCTTGGCATTTGGCCAGGGTTCCTGTATTATAATACAGATACACAGTTTAGCTACACAGCCTACTCATCAACATCTTATCCATGGAGCTCCCACAGGGCCCGATGGTAGGGGAAGAAGGTTCCAGGTCCCCAGCACGACTTTATCTGTTTACTCGTTTGTTTGTTTTACATACTGAGCTTCTACTAATCTTTAAAATAGCAAAAAACCCCAAAAGTTTGAAACTCTCCTGCAAGTGATAACACTACAAAGCGAACGAGTCAAGATGAGCACTCACTGTCCGAGTGGCCGAATCACTCAGTCCATTTGAGGTTGACACAGACCACAGCCTCACCCATCGGGGATGGGAAGCAGGTCTGCGCCCTCTGGGGGTTCCAGCGACATGCATACCTGATAACATCCAGGAACACATCTGTGTAATAGACCTTTCCATCCACACTGTCATAGTCCAAGGAGATGACATTGTTGAGCTCGGGAACAGGGACATGCACATCTGTGTGGTCGCTGGTGTCCAGTGAGATACGCCGGATGGAGCCGCGGCTGGAGAAGAGCAGGTAGGTCTCAGGAGAGGGATCACAGGTCTTCCCATCTCCCTTTAGCTGGATGCCAGTGGGGCAGGCACAGGAGAAGCCAGAGGGCCGAGGTAAGCAGAGGTGGGAGCAGCCACCATTTCTTGAACCGCACTTGTTAAAACCTGGTGATGAGAAAGAGAGGACGAGCTTGGATACCCAGCCTGGAATATTGTCTGAATCTTACAAAGGCTCTAGTTTCTTGTGCCTGATTCTCTGCTATTCTAAACGACAGGATTCGATGCCTGGCAGGGATGAGGTAGAAGGAGCAGGGGTGTCTCCAGGAGTCCTTTGAAGGTGACAGCATCATGCAGTTGTAGTACCAGCCATAGCCAGGGGGAACACAGCCTGATCCTGGAAGGGGGCTTAGGCGGGTCCCTATCTCTCTGACTATAAAGGAATCTCTGTATTCTGGCTATAGCTCTGATGTTGAAATACTCCCAGAAAGCCAGAGGCTCTCACTCCCAGCCCCGGGGGTCTTTTTACCCAGTGGCTGTGCCCGGTCCACAGCCTGGATGTCCATGAGGCCTGGCAGATTGGACCTCACCAGGATGACATTGCTGCCAGTACCCTTGTCGGCGCGGTGGATGCTACGGGTCTGCCAGTCAGTCCAGTAGATATAAGAGTCGAGCAGAGTGAGGCCGTATGGGTGCTGCACAGGTGACACCAGCGTGTGCCGATTGGCACCATTCAGGTCAGCGGCCTCAATTCGCTGTAGAGGAAGGAAAAGGTGGGGAAGGGGCGGGGGGTGGCTATCACTGAGGGTGGGAGCCCTCAGGGGAGATCCCAAACAGGCTTCTCCCATCTTCTAGGCTTCTGGGAAGCAGCAGGAGCAGGACCCTCACCTCGGTGTGGGCATCAGCCCAGAGCAGTTGGGAGCCGGCCTTGTCCACAGTCAGTCCATTGGGCCATCCTAGGTTGTTGCTGATGAGCACAGTACGTTCCGAGCCATCCATTCCCGACCGCTCTAACTTGGCATTCTCCCCCCAGTCTGTCCAGTACATGAACCTGGGCAAGGAAGAATACTAGCTGGTTATTCCCACAGCTCCTGAATACTGTGAGTACTTACAATATGCCAAACACTGTGAGAAGTGTTTTATATGCAAAAAGGGGAGTTGCTTTTAATGAGTACAGAGTTTCAGGTTTGCAAGAGGAAAAAGTTCTGAAGATCTGTTTCACAATAATGTGAATTTACTCAACACTACAAAACTGTACACTTAAAACGCCTAAGATGGTAAATTTCATGTTCTGTTTTTTACAACTGAAAAAAAAGTACTTCCCGTGCATTATCTCACTTAATCCCCACAAGGGCCACAAGGTATGCATTGTCACCATCACCTCCAGTTTACAGATAAGGAAGATGAGGATCAGAGAGGTTTAATACTGGACCCAAAGTGACAGACGCAGCTAAAAAATGGTGAATCTTGGATTTCCGCCTCCAAGGCTCATGCTCTTAATCTCTACACTACACTGCCACCCTGAAAGAAGTCACAAGGGAGTGAAACAGCCCCAGGGAGGTCAGTCTCGGTGTCCCTGTGAAGTGTGCTTGCTCTCCACCGCCCAGCGTCACCCCGTCCATAGCCCCAGCTGAGCTGCTGGCCCATCCTGCTGCCCGGAGCCACAACGCCACCTCTCACCCCATCTCGTGGTACAGAACAATAGCCCGGGGGCTGTCAAGGTTCTGCCACACCAACACTTTCCGCATGGACCCGTCCAGGTTGCCCACTTCGATCCGGTTGGTTCCCGTGTCTGTCCAGTACACTTTCCGGCCAATGGCATCCACTGCGAGCCCATCTGTGGTTTGCAGCCCTGCAGGAAGTCAAGAGAACACACTGGCTCCTGCCTTAAAACAGATGGGCTATTTCCCCAGCTCTGTAGCCAGATAGATGGTCCCCAGGCTGGGAGGAAGACCCACCTGTGGTGATGATGTCCTCATGCTGTGAGCCATCCAGATTGGCACGGCTGATTCTGTGCAGCGTGCTGTCCGACCAGTACACTTTTCCTGGAAAGGAAAGGCTTGGCTCAGCCTGGACGCTTGCCTCCCCCAAAGGAATACACAAAGCTGACTCCTGTCCTAAGACACCAGCACATGTCTGAGAACTCTGTACCCCCTAGCAGAGGAAATCAAGGGAAATGTAGAAATGTCATAATGGGATGGCTCTTGGCAGAGAGAGAGAGAAAGGCCCAAGCCATGCCCTTACAACCAGAGAAAGTGCTGAAGAAACAGGGGCAGGGGCTGTGCCAGAGGGAATGGGGAGCTGCCAGGCTCTAGCAGGAGGCAAAGAGGGTGGGAAGGGAAGGACGGCAGTTGCTGCAGGGCAAAGACAGAAGGCCAGGTGGGAAGGGGGGGCCACACAGACCTTCCTGGGGATCCACTCCAATGGCAATGGTGTTCTTCATAGTAATGTTGATGGGTACTACCACATCGGCAAAGTAAGGGATGTCCAAGGAGACCAGGCGTACGTCTATCCTCCTGGCGAAGATGAGGAAACTGTTCATGCCTGCCCAGGTGGGGAGAGAAGGAAAGAGGACAGTCACCCTAGCACAGCCATTAAGAGGATTTAGAGTAAGGCAAACTGAAGTTCATGCACTGGCTCTGTTAGTTTCTAGTTGTGTGACCCTGGGCAAGTTATTTAAATTGTTTAAGCCTCAGTTTCATCATCTGCAAAATGGGGACAATAACAGGGTAGCTGCAGGATTAAGGAGATCATGTGCAGAAAGCACTTAGCATTGGGTCTGACACATGGTCATAAATGACAGCTCTTTATTAATATTACAGAAGTGACTCTCTTCGAAGGACCCTCTACCATGCAGTTTAAGAAACCCCACGTGAAATTAAGATAAAGAGGGCTTTTCCCACAACCTGGGAGGCACAATTCACAGCTCCTTTCTCACTCAAATTCCCTAGGAAGTTAGGATTCAAGATCAGCCTACCATGTAGCCCCCCCTAGGGAGAAACACTGACTCCCAACATCTGGGCAGCCTGGTCCTGCTTCTGGGAACCTCCAATGAAGGTTGTCACATAGGTTGTGCTGGTCATGCACTCATGAAAGAGCCACATCCGAGGAGGACACCACTACATTGTAGATATCATATGTTTTAATATTTATTATACCAATTTGTGGTAGATGGAACGAAAGTGACTTCGTCTAACCAAATCGGTATATTATGACAATTTTCCAATAGATGAAAGTAAGATGCCTGAGACAGAAGCATCTTTTTCTAATATGCATGAAGACACCGTAAAAATGAGTTGGACTCTGTCCCCGATCCTGTCTCCCTGCTCCCCTGGGCCTCTCTCCCAGACCTCTTCTCTTTTCTAAAAGCTCTGTCTCTCCCCTAAGCCTCTGGAAGGACCAGGACTCATGGTTTCTCAGACCACATGGGAGTCCATCTGCAAGGAAGGAAGAGAGTCACTGCCCCTCCCAGAGAGGCTTTATCCAGGTCTCTGATGCTTACACTCACCTGGTGAACAGGTCTTGCCATCAGGCATTAGGTTGATGCCCGTGGGGCAGGTACAGCTGAAGCCGCTTGGATTTGGGGACCGAAGACACAGGTGGCTGCAGCCGCCATTCTCTACAGCGCATGGTGTGGACACTGGGTAGGTAGGAGGAGGGGGTCAATAGAGAGGACTACAGCAGAGGAAGGCTGAGGAGAAGCCAGTGCAGGCCAAGGGCTGCTCACCTGGGGGCCGCCGGCGGTGGAAGACATGGATGTCCATGAGGTTCTCCAAATTCTCCTGCAGCGTCTCCCGGTCCAGCCCCGTGAGCCGGTCTGCACTCTGTATACTCTTGGTCTGCCAGTCAGTCCAATAGATGCGCTCTCCATAGAGGGTCAGCCCGAACGGGTGGGGGAGCTGGCTTCCGATCAGCACCTGCCAGGGCCACAGCACTTGAGTCATCTCCCAGCAAGGTCAAACAGCACAGAGCAGTGGTCAAGAGCTTGGGCTCGGAGTCAGAATGCAGCTCTGCCACTACTGCCTGCTGTGTGACCTTGAGCAAGACGTAGTTATAAAATCTCTCTGTGCCTTGGTCTGCCCATCTGTGATATGATTATGACAGTGCCTGGCTCCAAGGGCTGTGTGACGATTGTAAAAGAGGATGTATTATTCACATAATCTCAAAGTATCTCTAAACAAATTACTTATTAATTACAAAAGGAAAAATAGCAACTTTACAGTGGACACCACCTTACCACAGAAAGTTAATATCACAATAATGGGACAAGCCAACATCTGTGCCTACTGACAAGACACACTCAGCACTTGGGACATGACTTCGCTTAATGTAGTATTCCTGCCCCAAACACATCATCAGACATCAAACCCATCAGACAAATTGAGGGACCCCCACTAAATAACTGGCATTTACTCTTTAAAAATACAAAGGTCAAGAAAGACATAGAAAGGCTGAGGAAGTGTTCCAAATTAAAGATTAAAGAGACCTGATTACTAAACACAATTGTGATCAGAATTGGATCCTGGACTGAAAAAGAAAAAAGAGGAAAAAAGCTATAAAGGACATTATTGAGGCAATTGCTGGTGAAATGGAATATGGACTGTGGATAGTAATATTGCATCAATGCTAAATTTCCTGATTTTGATCATTGTACCATGGTTATGTAAGACAATGTTGTTGTTCTTAGAAAACATGCACTGGAATATTTGGGGGGTCAAGGATAGGAAGTCTCTAACGTAATCTCAGATGGTTCAGAAAAATAATATGTGTGTATGTAGATAAAAAGAGAGAGAGAATGACAAAGCATTCTGGCAAAATGTTAGTTATTAGTTCTTTCAACTATTTTTACAACTATTCTGTAAGTTTGAAATTATACCAAAATAAACAATAACAAAAACAAAGAGACTGACCATGGGCCCAGTGTGCAACTGGGCTTAAACAGTGTTAGCTGTGATGGTTATTAGTAAAGTCTGTGCTCTTATACCCCCGGCACACAATCCACGCAGATCCCTAGTTTTCTTTCATCATCAAGCAACATCAAGGGCTCTGGAGGGCAGCCACAGCCTCAGAGAAACAGCACACGCCCCATGCTGGTGCCATCACTCCTGGGTTCCCCTAGCCCCCCACAGCTGCCTGCCAGGGAGTGATGCCCTGGAAGCTGTCAGGGCTGTGGGAGGATGCCTTAGCACCATCTTACCTTCCTCTTGCTGCCATCCAGTCCAGCAAATTCAATTGTCTTCATGCCAGCATCAGCCCAGTATAGCCGCTGGGAACCGTAGTCAATGGCTAGTCCATTAGGCCAGGTCAGATTAGAAGAGATGATGACCTGGCGGCTTGAGGCATCCATGCCAGCTCGTTCAATCTTGGGGCTTGCACCCCAGTCAGTCCAATACATGTACCTGGGCACAGGCAAGAGGGTTTTATAAACCATCCAGTTAATACCCAGTGGGGACTGGGGGTACCTAGGGTTTCAGGGTTTCTGCTTGCAATAGCTGCCCCAGCCTCCTGCCTCAGTTCCCAGCCCCGTCCTGGGCTCAGAGCTATCTCTGAAGGTCTTGGATCTTCTATCACTATCAAAAGGTGCCCAGAGTCTTAATAAAGGCAGAGCCCATGGCTCAAGGAGTGCTCAGCAAATAAGGCCTATTTGGGAGTAAAGAAAGAGGCGAAGTGCGGATGGAGAATAAGAAATGTTTCCTTCACTAGATGGGTTAAATAATTATGGTACCTAAATTTAACAGAATTCTATATAACCACCAAGAAGAACAAGATGGATAACCAAATGGAAAGATATCCAAGGTATACCTAGCCAAGTGAACAAACCAGTTTACAAAACAATATGCCATTACTGTAAAACCAAAACCACCATCACCACCAAATGTATATACACATGTAGAAGAAAATCTGAAAAAAAAAAAACCACCCTAAGCTGTTAACAGCGGTTGTTGCTGGAGAGCGAGATTACAGGGAATCTTCACTTTCTACAGATTTACTGACTTACTTACTTTTAAATGATGAGTTATTTTTGTAAGAAGACCCCTCCCCCCTAAAAAAAGATTAAAAAATGTAAAAGGTTCCCTTGTCCGTGGAGGAAACAAGAGCTGTCACTATGCTCTGTAGTGTCTATAGCTGTCCTCGCTGCCATGGTGTGTCCATCAGATGTGGCCACTCTCGGTAACCTCCAGACTCCTCTCTAGGTCTCAGGTCTGGGGGATGGGTGCAGCTCGTTCCAAAGGAGCAGGTGCTCACCCGCCCATGGGTTCCACCACGATGTCCCGGGGACGATCAAGGTTCTCCCAGATGAGTACTGTCCTCATGCTGCCATCTGTATTGGCCACTTCAATCCGGTCTGTCCCTACCAAGAAGTAGGGGGCAAAGATATTAACTCTAACCTCAGTCATTCACCCTCTTACCTTCCATGCCCAAGCACAGAACCTGAAATGCAACAGATACTCAAGAAATATTTTGGATAGATGTGCAATCGATGTTTAGTGAATTGAACTTTGAAAAGAAATTCGAGGAAATGATCAGATCCATTTCTTCAAAGAGCAATTCCCCCTCAACCCAAGCAACCCATTCTGGGCTACAATTTAAGGCAATGCTTCCCATACTTTAGTGTGCATAAGAATCAGGAGAGCTTGTTAAAATATAGATTCCTGAACGGAACCCCCAAAGATTCTAATTCAGCAGGTCTGGGCTAGGGCCCAAGAATTTACATTTCTAAGTTCCCAGGTGATGCGGACGCTGCTGGTCCAGGGACCACACTTTGAGTAGCTCTGGTTTAAGGCATTTCCCTTGCCTCCCACACTCATCCGCCTAATAGAAAAAGCCTGTTTTACCAAGACAGCGATGGAAGGAAAATCACAGGACATAGTTTCCTTATCTGAAATGCCTCAAAACATTCTCAAGCATCAGTGACACAATAGAAGTAGCTGCCATTTGATTGGCAAATGCCAACCCTCAGATGTGAACTTCTAGCTTCAGCTCTGCAGCAGCTCCACCACTCCTGACCTACCAAGGACTTCAGGTCAGCACAGGAGTGCTCTAAGAGGGGCCCTGGGCCCCTTCGAACTGAGGTCAGGATTTTAATAAGAGGAATCCCAGGGAGCCAGGCCATGGCTGCCCTGTACACACCTGCATCTGTCCAGTACAGCTTGTTGGTGACCCAATCAATGGCCAGGCCTGCTGGGCTCTCCAAACTGGTATCCACTACCACCTGGGCAGGAAGCAAAGCTGTATCACCAACTGGACTTGCACCCCAGCTCTGGGGCCCAAACTCCACCAATCCTCAGGCTGGCAAAGGTATGGGAAGCCCTTCCCCAGGCGAGGGTATATTCTACCCCTCAATCTCTGCCCTCCCCAAGGGCCTGGGCCCATGCTGGGCCCTACCTCCTGTCCTGTTCCATCCCACTTGGCCCTGCTGATGGTGTCAGTGCTGACATCTGTCCAGTACACGTGGTCATCCCGGGAGTCCCAGTCAAGGGCCACAGCACTGCGCACGTCAGCCAGTGGGATGACATCATCGGACAGGTCCTCTGTGTCGAAGCTGATCCGACGGATGTCCATCCTTCGGGCAAAAAGCAGGAACTTGTCAAGACCTGATCAAAGGCCGAAAGGGGTCTTCTTTTAATGCTCTAAATCCAGTAACAGTGACAGACACAGATGCTCACCTGTGTGACATCTGGTTCAATCATACTTCCTGGGATCTGGGGCCCTCCGTCCCCTACTGTCACACCTCAGGCCCCCTCTGGGCACTGGGCAGCCCGTGCTGGCAGAATCAGACTTTAGGATCAAATGGAAAGAGACTCTACCTGGGGCCCAGAAGTGCATCCCGCGTAAGGGTCTGTCAGCTTCATCTCAACTTCTCTCTCTTACTTCACTCAGCCTCCTCTAGTGCACTGGCTAGAACCCGTCAACCCCACGCTGCCCCTCTGACTTCCACGTCTGCTTCAGGGCTTCCGCTGCTCCACTCGGTCATCTAGATCCCTTCCTCTAGCGCTTCTCTCCACAGCTTTAGCCAATAACGACCATTTACGGAGCACTTACTCCTCACCAGGCACTGAGCTTGGTGCTTTTGTCTCCTTTATGCTTGTAATGATGCCCTGTGGTTCATGTTATCCTTATCCTCATTTTCTGGATGAGCTATCCTGAGGCCAACAGGCGCCAAGTAACTGGCCCAGGATCCCAGGCTACAAAGCACCAGAGCAGGGACTTGAACTCAGGTCTGACTCCAGAGAGAGATGTCTGGCCAGTCCCCTACACATCTTCTTAGGTGGCTCTTCTCCATTTTGTGCCCCTATTCGAGTCTACTTCCCAGTATACTTTTCTGCCTGGAAAGACACTTTCTGCCCAACTTTACCAACTGTCTTCTTTTAAGCCCAGGGAAACCCTTAAGCAGAATCTCCTTGCATCTCATTAAGATAATATGCGGAGGGCTGGGCACAAAAGAATTCAGCGGAATGAGGTTCTCAATGTGTGATGAATGATACTGCGAATATTTTCTCCTAATATTCCTCCAGATATTTTCCCTAATCTCATTCTCTGGAAAGGATCCACATCCTAAGAGAAATTTATTTTAACCAGAGATAAGAGGGTCAGTGGGTACCCGGTGGTAAATGACAGCAGCTGCTGATGGGTGAGGAATTACCCTAGGCCTGGCCATGCCGTATGGCTCGATCACTCCTCTCTGGACTATCGTTAGGAAAAGTCACCTGTGGCTCTGAGCTAGACAAGGCCACCCTCTCAACACAACGCCCCTGCAGGAGCTCAAAAGAAGCCCAAGGAGCCATTCAGGGAGCAAGCAGGGACTCCCATTATCTTTCACTCATCAAGCACACGTTTATCCAGGGCCTACGTAAACAGAGTACCATCAGAAGTCCTAATCTTGGCTCTCTGGTTTAGGGGCTGAAAGAAAGTTTTAACAGGGTGAGGCTAAAGGTAAAGAGGTAGGAAACCAGTCCCCTGCTTTCTAGAAGGGTCTGGAACCTTCTTATTGCCTAGAGATAAAGCATCCTACCTGGTGAAATATACACAAGCCTGGCTGCTGGTGTTCATACTCCATTGTGTGTGTCACTGAGCCTTCAGCATCTATTGCTGGGCCCTCAGCCCTCAGCTTTGACATCAGAGCCCTCAGCCTCTTAAGATCTTCCTCTCCAGGGGCTACTCTAGGAGCCTGGCTCTTCCCCACAACAGGAAATCCCCCGAACTCCTATCCCTTTTTCCTTCCACCCCACCTCTCAAGGCACGTCCACTGAGGCAGGCGCCCCAGACCCACTTACTCTGGGCACAGGCATGGCTGCTGATCTTGCGGAAGCCAGTGGGGCAGGCACAGGTGTAGTTGTGGCCACTGGGCAGACACAGGTGGGTGCAGCCTCCGTTGTTGTCCCCACAGCGGTTTTTCCCTGCTCAAAGAGCCCAGAGTCAGTTAAGACCGAAGGTTGGCAGAGGCGGTCCCAAGGCTAGTGTGTAGAGGTCTGGCTAGGGTGTGAGCTCCCTGGAGGGAGGAACTATGTCGTATGACTTTTTTATAACTCCCCCAACTGCAAGCACAGTGAATACCTCACACATAGAAGATGCCCTATAAATGTCTGCATGAATTAGATGGGAACAGTGAAGCTGGCTGAGTCCTTCCTGAGTCTCGATGTTGTAGCACCCTAAATGTCCAGCAGAGGGTGGAACTAGCCCACGGCAGTGCTAATCTCAAATTTCCCAGGGAGACACAATAGCAACTGTGACAGGTGCTGAAGTCTCAGCGGCACCAGAGGTTTACCCGGTGGGCAGTTTTTTACCTGCAGGCTGGCGCTGGGGGTGCAAGGTGTGGATGTCCATGGGGAAGTGGAGTTTGTTGCGAATGATCTCCTGGTTCTTGCCAGTAAATTTGTTAGCACTGTTGATGCTCTTGGTGTGCCAGTCCGTCCAGTACAGGCTGTCTTCAAACACCGTGATGGCAAAGGGGTGTGGTAGGCCTGGGGAAAGTCCAAGACGACCTCAGTCCAGACACACCCTACCATGGCTCCTAGGCCCAGGCCTGGCAACTGTACAAATCTCGCCCTTTGCCAAGGCTCCTGGGGGCCGGGATGGGGAAGAGAGAGGATGAGAGATGGAGGAGTGGAGGAAGCGCCTCACCCTGGCTAATGACAGCCTTGCGGTGACTCCCATCCAGATTGGCCCTCTCGATGACGTGGTGCTTAGCATCCACCCAGTACATACGGCGCCCAGCATAGTCGATAGTGAGGCCATTGGGCCAAAAGAGATGGGTATCGGCGATGATGCGGCGCCCAGAGCCATCCATGCTGGAGGCCTCGATGCGGGGGGTGTTGCCCCAGTCTGTCCAGTAAATGGTACTAGAAAGAGAGGAAAGGAAACTGAGAGGCAGGCAGCAGAGGCAGGACAGTAATCAGGCAAGGAGCTTTCATCCATTTAACCCAGGGGACTCCAACTGGTAGGAGACACATTCTCTTTGGTCCACAGAGTGGTTTTTTTTTTTAAAGATTTTATTTTTTTTCCTTTTTCTCCCCAAAGCCCCCCGGTACATAGTTGTATATTCTTAGTTGTGGGTCCTTCCAGTTGTGGCATGTGGGACACCGCCTCAGCATGGTTTGATGAGCAGTGCCATGTCCGCGCCCAGGATTTGAACCAACGAAACACTGGGCCGCCTGCAGCGGAGCGCGTGAACTCAACCACTCGGCCACGGGGCCAGCCCCCCACAGAGTGTTTTTTAAACGTCTCTACACAGGGCATTTATTCATTTAACACTTTTTTTTTTTTTTTTTGGAGTATCTGCTATGGGCAGGGCACTATCTCAGGCATTGGGAATGCAGCAGGGAACAAAACGGACAAAAATTCCGACCCTCGTGAAATTGCCAATAAAGTGTAATATTAGTTAGGATGGGCACTGTCTTCTTTGTCCCAATCTCTGCCACTGCCTTTTGTATTTTACACACACACACACACACACACACACACACACACTGTGTTTCTAAAACAGCTAACCTACAACTCAGCATCTTAGAGGATACCCCCCTCAATTGACTGAATTTTAAATAGTCAGAGGCTAAACACTTCCATTTCAGGAGACTTTTCTTCTAATAATAAAAAGTTAATTTTTGGCAATAAAAATTATTACTATCAATATTATCATATTACCCTATGAGCTAATAATAAAAATACTAATCATCTACAACTTATCTAATGTGTATTATGCCACTGAAAACGCATCGTCTCATTTCATTTTCACACAGCTCAGAGGTAGGTATGTTTCTTATCATCAATTTAGAAATGAGTAAATGGAGGCAGAGAGATTAACTAGGCCAAGGCCACGGCCACACAGCCAGCTACTGCAAAGCCGAGACTCAAATCTAGGTGTATATGGGTGCAGAGCCCACACTGTTAAAAGCACACTGTGAGGATGTCTCCCTAATAAAGCCTGGCCCAGGTGGCCCGGGAACTGTCCCTAGAGGTGGCAAGAGGGATTTGGGAGCTTGAGACACAACTCACTCACCCCTCCATGGGGTGTAAGGCAATGGCCCGGGGCTTCTCGAGGTTCTGCCAAAGCAGCACCTTCCGGTGGGCCCCATCCAGGTTGGCCACTTCAATCCTGGACGTCCCTGAGTCGGTCCAGTAGAGTTTGTCGTGGACCCAATCCACAGCCAGGCCCCCTGGGGAAAAGAAGCAGTGGAAGAGTGTCAGGCATTCAGCCCAGGCTCCTCTGTGCCATAGTAACAAGCACAAACTCAGCCATGAAGCAGCTTCTCGGGCCAGGCACTGTTTGAACCATTTTGCATATATTAACTCACTCAATCGTCAGAACAACTCTGAGCTAGGTACTATAATCCCCGTGAAGAGGAAGAAACTGAGGCACAGCAAAGTCAAGTAACCGTGCAAGGTCATGCATTTCCTCCTCACAGCCAACCATTTTCCACTCCCTGAATTCTGGCTCCCTCACCCACACCCAGGGTCTCCAACTGCACCAGCTCAGGGGTTTGCAAATTGTGGCCTTAGGGTTTTGCAGAGGCACTCCAGAAGTTCTGTAAGCTTCTGAGTCAAACGTGCTCGATACCAAATTCTAACTCACTTCACCTGCCTGTAGAACGGCCCGAGATTGCAAAGTGAGCTGTTGTTTTTTGAATCCGTAAACATTGGATATATTTATCTTGGTTGATCAGGATATTCTTAATGCGTAGCAATCAAAACGAAATTCAGAATTAAACTGGATGCACAGGCCTGATCAAGAACTGTAACTATCATCCATAAAGGGCTGATTTCAAATGATTACATTCATCAAAACGGTCTCATTATTCTGATAGGGCTCAAAACGAGCAAATGTTACAGACCCAAACCTATGAAGTTAATGTATACTAACAAATGTCTTCTGCATTAAAGCCATCCAAGATTTCACCGGAAGATGTTCCGCTGCCTAGGGTTTGCAAGCCACCAGCCTGTTCCTTCCAAGGCTGTTTTGCACATGGTGTGGCCCTCTCCTGCCCCACGGGGCCTTGTTCCCTACCTGGGCTCTCCAGCCCCGTAGACACAACCTCCTCCACGTTGCTGCCATTGAGGTTGGCACGGAGGATCCGGTCCAGCGTGACGTCTGACCAGAAGACGAGCTCGCGCCGGTGATGGAAATCGAGGGCGATGGCGTTCTCCAGGTTGTTGAGCAGCAGCGTGTACTCGGAGCGGTGCGGCAGCACCTGCCGGATGTCGATGCGATTGGCGAACAGTAGCACAGGCTCCGGCCCTGGGACATGGCATAGAAATGGGGCCCCCACCGACCTCCAGAGCTGCCCCATCAGCATGCGCTCCGAGCCAACTCAGCTGACACATGGGACCCCTTGCCCACTAGGGCACGCCTCGAGCTGTCAGCATCCCTGCTAGTGGGAGCCTCCAGAATCAACACCCCCACTCCGCCCCAGCAGAGCTTTTCTTGGGGCCCAGAATGCACCTCGTAGCTCCATCTTGCTGCGATAGAAGTCTCTCCACCTCTCAGCAAATCCCTGAATCCTGGAGCACCTGGCTGTCTCCACGCCCAGCCCTCTGCCCACCCAGCCAAATGCCGACAGCCCTTACCCAAAGCCTTGCAGCTGCGCCGGTCAGGCCGCAGTTCGTAGCCCGCCTCACACCAGCACTGGAAAGCCCCTTCGCTGTTGGTGCAGCCCTGGCTGCAATACCCCTCCTCAGCACATTCATTCACATCTGTGAGGACCGGACAGGGTCAGGAACGTGTCTTCTGCCATCCTCCCACCCAGACTCCCTGGCTGACTAGCTGCTTTCCTGCCCACATATCCATCTATTTCCCAGGCCTAGTGGGAAGGCTATTTAACAAGCGGTTAAAGGCTTCGAGATCACGCAGACCTGGGCTGGAATCCCAGCTCTGCTACTCACCAGCTCTGTGGCCTTCAGTAAGTTACTTAGCCTCTCTGAGCTTCAGTTTCCCCATCTGTGAAATGGGAAGGAGGATCCCCACTCCCTAGAGTTAGTGTGATGATGAAATGAGGTCACGTCTGTCAAATGCGTGATCAATGGGAAACACAGCTGCCTGTCTGCTGCCCCGCCCAGCATCCCAGCCCTGCTCCATATCAGGCCCTAGCTCACCCTGGCACATGTGACCATCCTCTGTGAGCCGGTAGCCGGTGTGGCAGGTACACTGCACTGTCCCCCGCACCATCTGGCACTTCTGGGCGCAGCCACCGTTGTTAACATTGCAGCTCTCCTCACCCGTCCGGGGCCCTGTGCCAGCCAAGCCAGAGATGGGAGTTGAGCCCAGAATCCTCCCCCAGACAGCCAACTTGGCATTCCACCTGGACCACGAAGAACAGCTCCCGAGGCTGCAAGAGTCCCCAGGGAGGGTTCTCTTTGAACCTTATGGGTGGGGTTCAGCCACAAACCATGGGCGAGGCCCGCCCACTGGGGACACTCACGGCAGTTCTGCTGTGGGCTCTCATCGCTGTTGTCACCACAGTCATTGACCCCATTGCACAACTTCCTCTGCCCGATGCAGCGCCCGTTCCAACACAGGAACTGGTCCGAGGCACACTGGGGGCTTCCTAGAGAGGGAGGGAGGGAAGCGGGGAAGGGAGGGAGAGGCAAGTCACAGCAGGGCAGGGCTTGGGTCAACAAAAGGATGGGAGTCTGTCATTTTCTAGGGCGAGCTGGAGACAGATGAGACTCAAGGTGGGAGGTTGGGGTCCAAGGCAGGAAACAGCTCAGACAGGGCTGGCTGAATGTCTGCATTCGTTTTCTCCCCAGGACACCACAGTGAGATGGTGAGGGATGTGGGACAGAATGACAGAGCGCGTCCGTGTGTCCGGCACCCGGTGTGGCTAGGGGAGTGGACATGGGGGCTGTCAGCCACAGAGAGCAGTCCTTGCTCAACAGGCCAGAGCAAGAGGCACTGGCTGTGTGTGAGTTAGAACGTGAGAAGCAATTGAAACTCAGAGCCCTGATACTGTATTCCAGGCCATAAGCCTGCAGGTCAACGGACGCACCTGGATTTGACACTGGTAACCGAGAAGGGCAGGAAAAATCCAGGCCACAGGCAAGATCTTGCTAACGCATCACCTTCACCCAACTGGAATGGAGCAGTAACACCCTCTTTCCACCCCCATCTTCCAAGCCAACTACGGGTTAAGGGGCCTGGGTACCCCTGGGAGACTCTACCTGTGTTCTCACAGTTCTCTTCATCGCTGTTGTCTGCACAATCATCCTCACCATCGCAGCGCCAGGACAGGCGGACGCAGCGGCCGGACCGACAGCGGAACTGTTCTGCTGTGCACATGGAGGTGGCTGCGCAAAGCAAAGGTCAAATGAAAGGCTGGCCCCACTACAGCCCGAAACTCCACCCTGCCACCCAAAACTGCACTCTCTGCCAGCATCCATGCCCTCTTCTCGACACCAGTGGCTCAGTTGGTGTGTATGGCATCTTTGTGTGAATCAAAAAAAGGTGCCCTTTTTCAAGACACTTTACTGCCATCTGCTGGAAAACTGCCGTGATGAATATATAAATCTATATAATTATAGAACACGTAAGTTCATTGTGTGACTGGCATCCCTTTGGACATAGTGCCTCCGTGCAGTGCCCAACCGACACCACTGTTCACAGAGGTCATGTCCAATTTGTGTGCAGTCTGTATCAGTGGCGGCCTTTTTGGCTCCACAGCCTCCTTCCCTACTTCCGGCCCAGACCTTTGGCACCATCCCCCACTCACTGCAGTTGCGCTCATCAGATTGGTCATCACAGTCTGCATCGCCATCACAGCGCCAGCCAGCGTTGATGCACAGGCCACTGTCACACATGAACTCCCCAGAGCGGCAGGGCTGGTGGGAGGCTGGGAAAACACAACAGACATCTGTCTCCAGCCAGTGTATGCAGACAGGGTGCCACGGCAGACCAGAAACCACAGTCCCAGCACCCCAGCTCCTCCATCTCTGCCCAAAAGGGACCAAAAATTTCAGAAACTCCTCCCCTCGCCTCCTGCCCCAGTTGGCACCTGTGCCTTGCCCTCCCAGGAGCTCCTCCCAGCTGGGCCTCCCCTCCTCCTCCACCCAGCTGGCCAGAGCACTCACAGCAGTCGGACTCGTCTGACCAGTCTCCGCAGTCATCATCGCCATCACAGTGGTAGATATCGAGGATGCAGCGGCCGTAGGCACACTGGAACTCCTCCAGGTTGCAGGGGGGCGCTGGCACCGCAGAGGCTGGAAGGAAGGCAGGGGTGGGGAAGGGCCTACGCTCAGGCCTGGACAGAGGCGAGGGGCCCTGCCTCCTCCAAGGGGCAAGATGCTCAGGCAAAGTAACCAGGTTTCATTTGAGACGGCCCTTAGAGACGCCCACATTCTGGCAGAACAAAGGCAGATCTCCCTTCTCACCTGGGGAAGCTGCCCCCACCCTACTCAGCCTAGGAGGAGCTACTGCTTTATTGTGTGTGTGAGGAAGATAGTCTCTGAGCCAACACCTGTGCCAATCTTCCTCTATATTTCGTATGTGGGATGCTGTCACAGCGTGGCTTTATGAGTGGCGTGTAGGTCCAGGATCTGAATCCATGAGTCCCAGGCCACCAAAGTGGAGTGCACAAACTTAACCACTACACCACCAGGCTGGCCCCAGGAGCTGCTTCTTCAGAACCTGCTCTCCTTGCCCACTGTCCATGCACTCCTCGGCCTGGCCCTCAGTCCATGGGATGGAGCCCTCTGCCCCATCCTAGCCCAAAAGCCTGAGTTCTGGGGCCACTCACGACAGTTCTCCTCGTCAGAGCCATCTTTGCAGTCGGTGTCACCATCGCAGTACCAGTGCTCAGCAATGCAGCTCCCGTCACTGCAGCGGAATTCCTTGTCAGAGCACTTGCGCATGTCTGGAGGGGACAATGGGACAGCAATCCTGAAGGAGCCCTACAGGCAACCCTCCTCCCACACTCCTCCCTGCCTCCTGCCCTCACTGCCCCTGGGGGTCTGACCCAGGCCCTGCAAGACACCACACTCGGTGCAGACTCTCTGGAGAAAGCCCAGGCCCTGGAGAGCCTGGGCCTCAGCCTCCTGTCCTGGGGTTCCCCTCCTACCTTCCTCCAGCTGCTCCAGACACCTGGGCAGCGCTGGAGCCATTGCTGGGCTTTTCCCCCACGGCGAGACCAGCCACCAGCCCTCCTGCCGGCCTCCCCAGAGCACCACTCACCACACTGCTCATCGCTGTTGTCGCCACAATCATTGTCACCATCACAATGCCACAGGCTCCGGATGCAGTAGCCATTCTGGCAGGGGAACTCATCCTCTTCACACTCCCGAGGGGCTGTGGGCACAGAGCAGTCAGGCTGCTACAGGCAGTGGGGGCCAGTGCCTGGAAGCCCAAAAGAAAGCCTTGCAGAGCAGAGATTCAAAGCAGGTGGCTGTCTTTCAGGGGCTTATCTGACCGAGAGAGGAGGTGAAAGGACAGGACAAAGAGCTGAAGACCCCAGGGCTGACGTGGGCCTGGGGCATCATTTTCTGATTGAAAATCTTTGCCCAACAGAGCCTGATGGAGCCCGCCTGGCCCTGCTAGCACTCACGACAGTCCTGCTCATCTGAGTCGTCCTCACAGTCGTTGTCCCCGTCGCAAACCCAGGAGCGGCGGATGCACTTGCCATTGTCACAGTGAAAGTCAAGAGGGGAGCAGGTGGGCAACACTGGGTCCCAGGAAAAGAAAGGAAAAGGGGATCAGGCTGGTAAACTTACTCAGGCAGGCTCAACGAGGCCAGAAATTCTCTCCCAATACCCCTTGTTCCAGTCTCCCTATCTGAATGACAGCCCTTCCTCACAGCCTCCTAGGCCTGCCCCCAGCTGATGGAGAAGCTGAGCAGAAAATGTGAGAATATTAGAAAGGAATGGTGGTGTGGGGTCCTCAGGGCAGAACAGCCCAACAAACTCAAAACCACCAAGAAAGCAGTAAGAAAAACATGAGTAAGAGTAAGAAGCGTATGTTTTCTTTACCTCTTCTTTTAATGATGATTGACACTCATGGGCTCAATTTCCAGTTCAAGAACTCATTTACTTATCACACTGAGCAAGTCAGTTACCCTCTCTGAGCTGTAGCTTCTTCGATCGTACAACGGGGATAATTACACTGACTCACAGGAGTCTTTGGAGATAATGCACATGAAAGTGAGCCATTTACCATCATCACAATTAGCGGAACTGGTTAGGGTTAATAAGGTCCAGGTTGTAGCTTCATTCTTATCAGACTAATTAGCCACCTCCAGACACAGGTCTGCAGGTTGGCGGTTGCACCCCTAAACCCAGACAACGGGCTCAGCTCTGATGTGTCCAAGACAGGACACCCTAGCCCATTGTGCATATGTTACTACACTAGGGGAAAAGGGAGATTTGAAGAGAATATTAGATTTCTTACCACGTTTACGTTATTTAAAATGGTGTGATTACACGGAATAACAGTGTAAGAAACACATAAATAATCTGCATCCATGTATTAATGCACATTAAAAAAGCAGAAATATGCAGCACAAATACACAAACGCATATTCACATAAATATAGAGAGATCTATTTAAAGAGACTATCTGTAGTTTCAAGGGTGTTTTCTTCTATACGTGTTTCCAAGTTTGTTTTATTGGACATATACGCATGGAAATATACACAGGAGGGTTGAAGCCAAGCATATTGTGAAAAACACCCATCTGTCAGTATGTGTCACGCTCGCAAGAGTCCAGCGCTCTGAGTCTGACACACCTGATGCACAGAGCGCTCCGTCAGACTTGTCGTTGCTCCCTCGCCCCCAAGTCCCTCTTCTACCACTTCCCACCGCCCCACGGGGAAGCGAGGTTCTTACTACATCCATCCTCATCGCTGTGGTCCCCGCAGTCGTTGTCTCCATCACACTGCCACTGGGCGGGGATGCAAGTACACTCGCCAAGGGCACTCACGGCACACGTGAAGTGGTTCCGCCCACAAGCACACTGAGGGCTGCTGGCTAGGCCTGGGCGGAGGTAAGAGGAACCAGTGAGGGCTCAGCTCCTGCCCAACCAAAGCCCATTCTAGGCGGCAAGGTAGAGGAGCCAGGTGTAGGGGCACTGTCACCCAGGGAGCCATTGTGACACTACAGGGAGATGCAGACAATGCAATTGCACCTTCCGCCTCCTCCAAGGCACAAATGGACAAGGAGATACCCTCTGATTTGGGGCTCACAAATAGTCCAGGTGCCCACCTCTATAACAGGGCTTTTTTGCAGAGCACCCCCAAAGGCCCAGAGACAAATGATGCCACCTGGACGGTTGGTGCTCTTGAAGAAGGGGAGCAGGGGACAGAAGGCGTGATACAGAGAGGCCTCCATATCCTTCCTCCAAACCTAGGTTGAGATGCAGATGTTTTTGCCCGTATCCAGGACTTGGCCTTGGGATGTTGGCTGGGGAGGGCAAGAAATAAGGGTGGAATTGAAATGCTGGAGCCCCTTTAGGGATAAAGGGTCCACACAGCGGAGCAGGAAGCAGGACCGGCTGCTGTGAGTTCCCCAGGCAGAACTCACTCTTGAGGACAGTGGCTAAGGAGGAGTGGGGCCTGAGGGAGGGAACCAGGCCACTACAGGGCAGAGTGACTGGGACCAGTCAGGGCCTTCCTGTCTGTGGGACAGGCCGCAGCCTGGAGGAAGGACGGCAGAAGCAGCCCCTCCCCCAGCCTCGGCAGCACGCAGCTGGGCTTCCCTATTGAGCATCCAGCTATCTGCCTGGCCAAGTCCCATGACCGGCTGCTGTGCCCCCTCCCCAGCGTGCCCAGCAGGATGCCCTGGGATGGCGTGTGAATGGCTCGGTGCCCCCGCTCCAGCCTCAGCTGGAACAAAGGGTTCTGCCAGGGTCACTCTCCCCCCTCCCAGCATTCATCTAACCCGCTGGGCCGCTGCAGCTGGGAAAGAAGGGGGCCACCGCTCATCGCTCCCCCCAGCTTTCTTCTCCCCTTCCTCCCCTCGGCTGGGCCCTGCCCTCAGGCTGGTCTGGACCAGGGAAGGAGCCAGCTCCTAAATTACTAGCCCTCTTCCTGTACTATTTCCCCGAGCCCAGCTTCTCTCTCTTGGCTCATCTCCTTGATGGACATCCTCACCTCCCATTAGATTACTAGGCCTGGCTTAGGGCTTAGGGCTTAGGTCCCAGAATGAAAGGGTGCCATCCTCTCCAAAAGCAAAGAGAGAGCCCAAGACCCCTGCATCTCCACGTCAGCCCCAAGGGTCAGTATGAGTAAAAGGCAGGGGTTCCTAACCTGTAGATGATGGATGGATGGCATGGGGATCTGTGAACCCCTGAAACGACAGGCAAGATGTACATTTCTGGAGCTAAAGGCCACAGCTTTTGCCAGATCCTCAACTAAGGCCTGCCCTCCCCCTCCACATGCTAAGGGAATCAGCTGCCCTAGAAAAGATGCAGGATTTCCTGCGGAAGCCAAAGGAATCCGTTTGAGAGGTGCAGCATCCCTATACCTCACAGGAAGGCCTTACTCCCAGCGCAGCGCTCCTGTCTCTCTGCCAGTGTAGGACAGTGGACCCTTCCCCAGGGAAGCACTGAAGACCCAGCTGCCCTAGCCCCAGCACCATCCTCTTGGCCTGTTCCGAGAGCACTGAGAAAGGATGGGGCTTTTTTCACCCAGACTCTGGGCACCAAAGCCTGAGGAACTTTCGTAGTATGACCAGCTCATCACAGCTATAGGCACTACTTTCGGGAACTCTGGCTGAGGAAACAGCAAAGACTAAGTATTCCAGAGGGCTCCATATGGTGGGGCTCTCCAACATGCAGATCCCCTTCATGGGGAGGATGGTAAAGACAGAGGATAGAGCTAACTCAGTGGTTCTCAACCAGGGATGATGTTTCCCCCCAGGGGGCATATGGAAATGTGTGATGACATTTTTGGTTGCCATGATTGGCGGTACTTCTGGCATCTAGGGCACAGAAGCCAGGGATGCTGCCAAATATCCTTCAATGTACAGGAAAGGCTGCCACAACAAAGAAATCATCCAGCACAAAATGTCAATAGAGGTTGAGAAACTCTGCTAGCCACACACAGCGGGGAGTAGGGCAGCACCAATGAGGAGTTCAGGGTAAAGAGCGTAAGGAGAATAGAGAGAAAGAAGGGGGAAGTTGGGGGGAAGGGGGAGAGGAAAAAGCACGGGATCTGGAGCAGACAGACCCGGGTTCCAGTGACCAGCTGTGCGACCCCGTGCGAGTCACAGAGCTCCCCAAGCCTCAGTTTCTTCATTTGTAAAAGACCACAGGATAAATTGAAAGAAGCTAGCCTCGTGCCTTGGCACACCAAAGATGCTCAACCAATGCAGGATGAGAGTGTGCAGGTGTAGGGATGCAGGGGCTAAATTCTTCCCAAGGGCCTTGAATTTAAGAAGCCGAGTACCAGGACTGGGAGAGCAAGGACAGTAGTAGCCTGGCACAACACGAAAGTCAAAAGGAACGCTGAAGGTAAAGAGGAGCCTTCAGTCCTGTGTTTTTCTGGGGTTCTTTTAGGGCTCCACCCCCGCCTTTGGCTGAGTGATAAAAGAAGTCTTGATTTCCCTGTGCGGACTTCAGGAACAAAGCATTCCATCGGGTGGGCATCAAGTTCTTTGCAGGCGAATGAAGAGTCATGACTTCCTGGATGTCAGAGCAACGTCTGAACGTCAGCGTGTGAAGGTCAGGCAGCCACTGGCGGGCAAACCCTGGCTGGGGCTTTCATACAGTAAACAGACACATTATACTCCAAAAAGCCAGCTCTTCGGGACAACTGTTGCCCCTCTGGGATCCCCGGAGGTGGAATTCTGCCTTTTCACTCAAGTCCTGGCTGTGATCATAAAGGACAGCTTTTAACCCTTTTTAACTAAAAGAATGGTGAGTGAAGAAAGGAAACAAATGACTGCGGGTGGCAAAACACAGTCTTCATTTTAAGAAATGCTAAGTTAGAATACTCAGCTATGCTACTGGCCTTGAAAGCTATTTGCCAGCCACACTTGCAAGCTCCCTGGGCCTCCAGGGGCTTGGGCCTTTTGACCTAACGCAATTCAACAAGGAAAAGATCTCTCCCCAAAGGGTTTGCCATCCCTAATCATCAAGTCATCAAGTTTTGGGGTTACATGTCAATGCACTCATAGGGTCTTCCTGAGAGGTTAATCAAACTGTCACCACCTGCATCTTACCTCCCTCGCCTCAGCCACCTTACCAATTTCTCACTGCTTTCTTTTGAAGGAAAGAAGGAAAACATCCACCCGGTATACCAGACAGTGTACCATGGTGGTAGAGAGCACAGATTCTGGACTCAGAGAGATGAGTTCAAATCCTGGTTCTACCACTAACTCTACAAGTTTGAGTAAGTTAATTAATGTCTCTGAGCCTCAGTTTCCTCATCCATAAAATGGGAATAATAATAATAGTGCTACCACAAAGGATTTTGTAAAGATTAAATTAAATAATTCATATAAACTGTTTAGCACAGGGCTGGCACACAGCAAATCTTCATAATACTACAACCGTCATTTACTGAGCACCTACCAGGTACCCTCCAAATTCTTTCCTAAGTGCTTTTCATGTGCTCCATCATTGAATGCTCTCAACAACCCTGGGAGGTGGCACTGTTCTCATTATCACCACTTTATAGTTGGGGACACTGAGACAGAGAGGGGAAGTCTGTCGACAGGTCACCCAGATACTAAGGTTTGGAGCGGGCATTCACATGTAGGCAGGTCGATCCCAGAGCCTCTGCTCTTAATCACTTCATTATCCTGCCTCCCAATAAACAGTATTACTACTATGAGAATTTCCAAAACCCTGAGGTCAGAAAGGGGAATTTACAACACGAGAACTTCTGGGTCTCTCTCCTTTATGCACTATTGATTAGCAAATACACAGTGAGTTTACAAATCTCAGGCAGTGACCTCTCCTTCCGGTTACCGCTAAGGCTAAAGAACACTTTCCCTCGCCCTAGGGTAAAGTGGTGAAGTGGGACAGTCTGGAGCTCCCGTCCTTTAAACCAGTGTCTCAGTGTTGTGTTGGTCCAGAAATGGACAGGGCTTCTGATGACAATTATATTCTGCAGCTTCTCTTTACGGTTTGCAAGCTGCTTTTACATACACATTTGCATTCTCATTTAATCATTACAACAACCCTGAGTAGTTACCGTAGTGCCCATTTAATAGGTAAGGTCATCTGCTTTGGCCAAGGTCATGGGGTAAGTAGGAGAGCCGGGATGGCAGGTCCATTTTGACCTTTAGACCAAGTATTCTTTTTCTAATGCCATCTCAGAATCTGGACTTTCAATAAGCTTCCCAGGCGACACGGACGCACACTCGAGTTAGAGAGGCACTGTTTTCCACCATCCCAGAGAACGCTCAGCTGAAACGGGGCCACACCTGTCACTTGGAGGCCCAAGGTGGACAGTGACTATACACAGCTACAGAGCAGCTTTTTCAAGTTGAACCGGAAATAAGATGGCTGAAGGAGTGTCCTGTGAGTGCTGGAATATGACAGCTACCCCAGTGTGAAAGGGATGAGAATGGGAACAGGAAGAATCATCACTCATATAAGCAAAGGATGTTTTTCTTTTTTTTCTTTTTGCTGAGGAAGATTTCCCCTAAGCTAGCATACACTGTCAATCCTTTTTTTTTTTTTTTGGCTTGAGGAAGATTACGCCTGAGTTAACGTCTGTGTCAATTTTCCTCTACTTTCTATGTGGGTCACTGCCACAGCATGGCTTGATGAGTGGTGTAGGTCTGCACCCAGGATCCGAACACGGGCTGCCAAAGCAGAGCATGCTGAACTTAACCACTATACCAGGGGCCGGTCCCAGGATGTTTTTCTTATACTAAAGCTCTCCTCTTTCCTCCTGTCCACAGGTGGTAATGGTAAGGATATAAACCTTATTTAATGAGAATAAGTTATGTAAAATGACCCTAAACTACATCTAGGCTATTCAAGGGACCAATCGACTGATTTCAGCTCCTCGCACAGCCTACTC